TTTCCAAATTCATATTTTACATTTATATTAATATGCTCAATTGTGTATATTAAGTTAATATTGTCCTAGTCAACCTAACATAAAATCTATTGGATTCTCCGTATTTAAATCTATGTTTCAGGAAAATTTCGTTCAATTCGGACAATTCTAAAATGGTTAAAATAAATATCAAATTCAAGTTGTATTTAAAAAAAATTTAACAAAATCCGATTTTAAACGTTCAAAAACAGACAAAAACGAGTTTTTTGACTGACAAATTGTTCTTGTTTCTGAACCGTTTGTCAATCAAATCTAGCAGTAAATTAAATTTGACTTTAAATTTTTTAAATTGATTATCTCAAAACTTTAGGCAATTTTGTCTTATTATTACTGATCTATAACAACATATGTAAGTGTGATTTCTAATTTAAACTGAAATGATAAATTAAGTTGTTTTATTTATAAATGAATGCCATAATTTGCTAAAAATAAAAATTATAATAATTTTATTTTTAACAATTTCAATGACATTCAAGTAACATTTCTGTTTTTAGCAATATAATACTTACAATTCAACTTACTATAATAAATTTTATGTTTTTTATTTTATAATTTAATATAAAAATCTAATAATTATATAACTTTCATAAATAAATTAAATAATTTGTAAACAACTTGAATATTTCTTTCACTTTTCTTCAATAACCAATTTCTTAAAATTTATATTTTATGTATTTTTTGTTTTTGTGGTAATTTTTATTTCGTGCTTTAAATTTTTAATATAAAAACAAAATATTTTTATTAACTGTATAACTGTATTAACTGTATAAGTGTAGGTACATGGAAGAGTTGGATATACATACTCGTATGTATGTACATTTATACACATAATAGTTACAATTTTTACTATACAAAATTTTAAAAGTTCTCCAAAAAACAAATACCACCAACAGATGTCATGGTTAAACTCAATTTAGATATTTTTGTTGTTAATTTTTCTCTATTTTTTTTCTGTTCTTTTCTATTTCTAATGAATCACGTTTCTTTATTATCGGCATATCAATAATATTCTATTAAAATTCGATATTCTTTCATGAATTTTCAACACTGTTCAAAGTGTTTTTTATGTTTTTATTATTATTTTTATTTTTTTAATATTTAATGGCTTATTTCTTTCTCTATTATTTGTACAGTGTTTTCACACATTGCGTGTAACATAAAAAGTCAAATTCATATTAGGGAAATTAAAACTAAAAAAAAAAAAACAAAATTTGTTAAAAATTGCAAATAAAGTTCATTATACTCAAAATAAAAATTTTCAATTTAAACACATTTGCTTGAAAAAAAATTTTTAAAATTAAAATATAAGAAAATTTTTGTTCGATTTGTTAAAATTTGTTAGCACGAACAGACTGATCAAAATTTTAAATTGCAAGTAAAAGTAATTGTAGTTGTTTGTACATAAATATATTTTTAATTCGTGCATAATACAATCAAAATTTTATTTTGTTTTTAATTTACAGAAAGAAAATCAAAATAAAAATGAGAATAGGCTGATCGTATCAACTCTGTGATATACGTTCGAAACAATGAAAACTCGCATGTGTGCTGCCACTTGAATTTATGATTCGACATCGATTACAATGTCTCCAGATTTACGAAGGGAACAGTGCTCTTGTTTTGTATAAAATAATTTAAGGGCCTGTTATTTTACTCGCCAAGTGAGAAGAAATTGAATGGCAATCTTATATGTTGTTGAATGCAATTTTCGAGTTAGAAGAATTTTCTCGTATTGGACATCTCGCAGATAGATACACGATTAGGCTCTTAATCATTATTTATTCACTTTATTTTTGAAGTTGATAGATTCAGTCGATAATTTGAGCCAAAATTTAAAAATTTAATTGCGTAATCTTATTGGAAAAAATTAAATATGCTTTATAAAAAAGGAGAATCCTGAATTGAAAGTAAATAAAAATTGCGGTGAAAAAGCGATTTATTTACGATTAAGCGAAAAATATACGATTAGGCTTTAAATATAAAGCGATATATGATTTTTATTCATTATATAATGTTCCGATTTTTCATAACCCTTTTTCAGAGAGTAAAAATTACTTATTTATTTATTATATATCTCATTATTTTCTATTATCAATTATTAATTTCCAATATTTGGTAAATATTAAATATATTTTATTAAATATTTACCATGAAATAAAAAATTTATTGAAACGCATACATATGTATATATATATTTTATTACATAGGAAAAAATTTAAGCAAAATCAAATATTTCGGCAAAAAAAAACTAATTTCAAAAATATTTTCAATCAAAATCACAATTTAAATACAAAATGATTTTTTGCTTTCACCGCACCACTCTTTTTCTTAAATAACAAATAAATATATATAGCATATAAATTGTTTTTTTTTTAATTTAATATAGAATTATGAGTAACATTTTATTCGACCTTAGAAAATTTTTCCATTCTACTATCAATAAATCTAAACTTTACTATTATAAAAATTCATAATATTTTCCTTATACATACTCGTATTTTCCTATATCCTTTAATTTACTGAATACACAAATTTTTTTCTTTATCATATTTTCCTATAATATATACAATTTTTTTTTTTGCTATTGCATAATTTCGTAATAATATTAATTTATAGATAGATTTCAAGTGTAAAATATTTTCACCAAATTAAATTTGGCATGAGAACAATAAAATTGTAGCTACCTTGTAGAAAAAAATACGAATAACAAAAATAACAATAACACAAAAATATATTTTGGTTTTTCTGCCTTTATTCAAGCCAAAATATTATAATATCCTTAAGGGTATAAAAATGTTAGTGCAACCAACAATCGGCTTTCTCTTTAATAAAAAAAAATCCTTATTTGGCTTAATATTTTTACCTCCCAAATTTTAGTTTTACTTCTCATTTATCCTTTCCAAAATCCTTTTTGTGTACAAATTAGTTGCAAACAATATTAAAGAAAATAAATTTTATTAAGTAAAATATTTAAAGTTTTCGTTTTTATTTGTATATCCTTTTCGGTAATTTAACTTTAAGAAACCAATTTAATTTTATAGAGTTTTTTAAGTTTTTCATAAGTTTTTTTTTCTTATAATTTCCTTCTTCAATTCAAAAATAATAAGTTTTAGTTAAAAAAAACTTTGAAATAAATTGCAATATTAACTAAATAACAAGCTATAATAATATGCTTATTACCATAATACATTTATATTAAAAAAAAAAAAAACAGAAAATAAAAACCTTAAAACATAATAAGGAAAAAGGATAATTTTGGTTTTTTTTGTTACGTATACCAAGAATAATTTCGTTCACAAGTATATTTAGAATTTGATTTTCCAATTATAAGTATTTGTAAAATTTTTAATTTAATTAACAAATTTGCGTTGTGATTAAGAAAATATTAATTTTAAACTAAATATTTATATTTATTATTTATTTTTAGGTTTACACAAAGGACCAAAACAAAAATAATCGGTTTTGTGTGAATTATAATTACAACCAAAAGAACGATACTAATTATCAACAGAAGAACTTCTTAACGAAAGAAAATTTGATTTGATAAAGTGAATATATAATTTCCTTGCATATATATTAGTATAAAAATTCAATTGCATTTTAACAATTTACTTACCGCCATCATCGTTATCATCACATTGACAACTTAATATTAGAACTAGATTACGGATATCTAAAAATACTGCAAACATGCAATTTAGATTAAGTAAAAGAAGATGCAGTATCAAATTATAGATACAGTTATCACAATTTTCAGAATAGATAAAGCTGGATAATGAGCCAGCAACTAGCGGAAACAGCAGTAGAAAATTTAAAGGACCTCGTGATTTAAATATTAGTTCATATATATAAATGAATATAGAAAGAAGAAAACAACAGGAAATTCAACGTAATATTCATCATATAGGTGTATCATTGAATAAGTCAAGAAAATTTTAAAATGTTGGAAGTATAATTTTTTCATTTTGTCCTTTTGTAGTCCTTAATAACGTAACCTATTTTCACAAAAAAAAAAATTGGTAATACATAACAAAATGTTTGTTCTTTTTAAAAAATCACATTTTATTGTTGGTAATTTAAATTAAAATAAAAAGAACAACGTTTTGTTTTTAAATTTTTTATAGCGTATATACGCTGTGTAATCATAGATCGATTTTGTTTTTTGTAAACTGTTTTATGAAATCATCCACCACAGTAGTTATAAAAGTAGTTATGAAAAAAAAACAGTTGACAGAATTAAATATTATCAGAAATAGTTAGTTGAAGACAGCAAATGATTAATTATCCCACTGAGTAGAATCGATTATAAAAATTCAACGAAATCATAATTTCAGATAAGAACAATAGTAAAATAGAAGAGTTGTAATTTCATGTTTCTATGTATACTTAAGGGCTATGAATTTTCATTTGAGGTATTGTAAATTTTTAGGAATAGGATAAGAAAAAATCAAATATTTAAATTAATCCAATTCAATGTAGCATTTACTGTTTGTATTTTTCTTATTTTTTTATTAAAAAAATGTAGTAAACTTTAGACGAATTAATTGTTTTAATGAAATGCGGATCAGTATGCATTCTCATTCCCAATTAAAGAAAAAGCTACTAAAATATTTCCAGAATATTCAATAGAAATTTGAAATATCACTTAATTTTCCTTTTAGTCTTCACGTTATTCATATTCGAATAATTTACGCTACGCCATGATTTAAATTTTAAATTATTTTGAAATAAAAGTATTGACTGTTAACTTATTAAAATTTCTATTAAATGTAACGTTTATTCTTTACAAAATACTATTATTTTCAAATATGTAAAATAATTTAAAAAAAGTTTTCTTAATAAAAATTTTTTATATTTACACCTACATATAAATTATTTTAGTTAAAATTAATTCACTAATAAAATTTATTAAACATTTTACACTCTAATATTTAAAATAATATAAAATTTAAATTTAATACCTGTTTAAACAGAATTTTTAAATAAGTTTTTTTTTTTTACGACTACATCGTGCTTAATTTTAGTCTGACTACAAAAAAAAGAAAAAAATTATAATAATAAATAAAATTTCACTATAATTTTCATATTTTATAATAATTTTATTCTTCAAAATTTTCTAACCAAAATCTTATAACACTTTTAGCCACTATGGCTTACCATACCAGACTGAATTGAATTACCTTGTTAATAAAAAGAACTAATACTAAGTATAATATACTAAATTATTATGGATTGTTGTTGTATTCATATGTATGTGTTATACATTTTATATATAAATGTTTGTATATAAATATCCAAAACGTTTTTTTTTTAAAAAACGTTTTGGATATTTATAAAATCTAAAGAATTAGATATTAAAACATATAGGGCTCTTATTTTGAAATTAGGTTGCAGACTTCACCTTCCCTATAACAGATCAATAAATATTTTAAGTACAGAATTTTATTAAATAAATCTCAGTAACTTAAAAGTTCATTCAGTTTTAAGCTTTATTTTTCAATGTAGGTACACTTTAAATATTAGATCTAGTGTTAAAAAACGCTTCTATATTTATTAAAAATTTATACTGTTGTGTCAAAACAAATTCTAAGTTGAATATAATTATTTAAAAAATTTGATCACATAGGACAAAACTGATATATAAAAATAATAACTGGTATTAAAAGGTTGAGTATAACACAATAAATAATCAGTAGTAATTCATAAATCTGTAAATAAATCAATAAAATTGTCAAGTATGTTAACCTAACCATTTAACCCACTTGTATTACTTATTATAATGAAATTAATAATTTTAAATTGTATACAAAAAGAACTACTTTCATAAATATAAAATTAATAAAACAAATCATAGATAATGTTAAAAATATTTTAGGATAATGAAAAACTTAAACTTTACGCAATGGTATTTTTAAATATGCACTTTGTATATAATGCTTTCAGTTTATAAGGTATGGGAGAATGGCGATTTTTTTTTCCTTAACTTGTAGGAGGAAAACGTACGGCTAATACCCAGCCCCAGAAGAAGGCAATTACCCACTTTATATTACAAGTCATAAATATGATTTTTAATTGTAATATGATTTTTTACATATGTATGTACTAATAATCATTTTAATTAAAAATTAATTAATTAGTAATTTAATTAAAATGCTAAAAAAAAATCAAATATTTTAAATTTGTAAATAAGAGCAGATAAATAATTGTAATAGTAAATAATGTAATTTCAATCCTTAAATATATAAGTAATTCAAATTATATATAAACATAAAATACAGAAATTTAAAGATACAAGGATAGTTTTAACATTTTTCATTGTCATTTAATATTAAAAAACATGAAAAATTGGTCACTTTGTAAAAATTTATTTGTAAATTTTCTTCATTTCCTTTAAAAACTATGCATGTATGTGTATATGTATGCATTTGCATGTGTATAAGCGAATATTATTTTTTTTTTTATTTAAATATTTATACATACATAGTCACATTTGTGTCATTTCGATGCCCTATTGTTATCAAATTTTCTTTTATGTTATTTTAAATTCAAGGTAAATGTCATTATTCCGTGTTTTTTATTTTTCCCCCCATTTTTTTTTTAAATTATGTCACATAAACCTAGACTAGGTATTATTGATTTCTTTAGAATTATTAAAAAATATTTTATATAAAATTTTTTTTTTTTACAAAAAAAGGACAAATATTTATTGGCCGAATATTATACGTAATAATTTTAAGAATATAAGAAATGTGTATGTAATGAAAGGTATATATGAAATTGCATATATTTTGGCGTGTAAAATATATTTGAACTTTCTAAAAAATTTTATTAATAATGAAATTAAAATTATAATTATTTGTATAGTAATTAATTTATAAATATGTATAAGTTTTTGAATTTAAATTATGTATAAGTTTTTGAATTTTTTTAAATTAACTAAATTATAGATAATATTTGGTTATAATTTATATTAAAGCGATTATGTAAGATTTATATTATTGCCCATTATAATTGAAGTAAATACTCATATTTTGTTAGTCGCATTACTTGGTGTGATGCGATATTATTGGAAAGAATTTTGCTTTTCTGTATAAAATTTCGAATTTCGGTATTGATTTTATTCAGAAAATTGTAAGATTTTTAAGTGATGCGACTAACATAATATGGATTATTTAACTAATTAATAAAATGGGTTTTTTTATAAATCATTTTTTTATAAATCATTTCAAAATACAGAAATAAACCCGATAAAATCCAAATTTTTTTCCAAATAGTAAATGTTAAATTTCTTATCATTCAAATAATCTTCCTCTCTTAATTATCACTTTATAATTAAGAAAGTAAGAGAATTCAATTATCTTCTAATAGCTTTTGCTCCAGGTTTTAACCCCACTGTTTTATTTCATTAATACTTTCACTCTATTCTCTTTTATGTTTTTTTTCTGTTTTAACTTGATAAGATAAGACAATTTATCTTTTAGATAATAATAATAAAATCCATTGCAATTCTCAATACCGTTATCGATTATTGTAATTTTAGTTGAAATATTGTAGTCGTACCGGGCGTATTAATTTATATTTTGCCCCAAAATTAAAATTTCAAAATAATAAAAATGAATTTTAAAAAATATTTCATGTTAATTTTTCAAATAACATTATTAAATCAAATTACAATAGCAATTGATGGTTAGTCATTAAAGTTATACAAACAGAATGTGTGCACCACATTAAAATAGGCGAAATAATTGAAATTATGTGCAATCTCATAAATACATACTTTACATTTTATGTTGTGAACTTAAAAACTATGTAAACATATAATTTTTAATCTAATTTTAATCATGATTTAAATTTTAAATTATTTTGAAATAAAAGTATTGACTGTTAACTTATTAAAATTTCTATTAAATGTAACGTTTATTCTTTACAAAATACTATTATTTTCAAATATGTAAAATAATTTAAAAAAAGTTTTCTTAATAAAAATTTTTTATATTTACACCTACATATAAATTATTTTAGTTAAAATTAATTCACTAATAAAATTTATTAAACATTTTACACTCTAATATTTAAAATAATATAAAATTTAAATTTAATACCTGTTTAAACAGAATTTTTAAATAAGTTTTTTTTTTTTACGACTACATCGTGCTTAATTTTAGTCTGACTACAAAAAAAAGAAAAAAATTATAATAATAAATAAAATTTCACTATAATTTTCATATTTTATAATAATTTTATTCTTCAAAATTTTCTAACCAAAATCTTATAACACTTTTAGCCACTATGGCTTACCATACCAGACTGAATTGAATTACCTTGTTAATAAAAAGAACTAATACTAAGTATAATATACTAAATTATTATGGATTGTTGTTGTATTCATATGTATGTGTTATACATTTTATATATAAATGTTTGTATATAAATATCCAAAACGTTTTTTTTTTTTTGTTTTCATTTATAACTTTAGTCCTTATAAATATTTTATAAAATTAACACAGATATTACCATAAATGTATAGATATGTATGCGGCTTTTGTAATACAGTAGCAATTGGTTAAAACGAAGCTCGGGAATTTTAAATAAGACATCAAAAAAAACTTAAGCCACATAGAGTACAACAAATCTTCGACAATTTCTACCGTCACACCACTGTAGCACACTTGGTAGTTTGAATTCGCATAGAAAGTGGTAGGTCATTGATTCGTTGAGATCAGTGAAAAGATACAAGTTTTGTTTCAATTTGAGCTCCAGCAAATAGCGAGAACCGAATTTATTGTTTTCATGAAATGTCATGCTGAATAAGCAAAGCTTGAAATTTTGGTTAAGGTTCATATTCAGATTTCTGACCAAATTTAAAAAAAATTGATTTATGTATGTACTTATAAAATTGCTTGGGTTTATGGTTTATTCTAAGAAAATCAAGCAATAAATGTCTACAAACTGGATTTTAAGAACGACAAATTAGAAAAAATATTAAATTATATTACTGAGAAAAAATATAGGTATATTTTATCTACTTCTCGGTCTATCTATCGGTTATTTTCCATTCAATTTCTTTTGAATCTCTTAACAGCTTATGTAATTTCGTTTAACGCCATAAAAATTCAGAGAACGCATATTTCACATTAAACCGGATATTACTGTGTAATAAAAGAAAATTATAATAAATAAAAAATAAAGGATAATATCAGGAAGAAAAAATTTTATTTACACACATTCATACATTCATTTCTATATATTTATGTATGCATATTTATTCATTAATTTATATTATAATTTGTACATTTGTTAAATTGTTAGTCGCCATCGACTTTCTATTTAATTGATTGATGGAATATATACAAAAAAAAAATTCTATACTTACCTATATTTTTCCTTTAGTTAAATTTGAACTATATTTCAATTATAATTTCATGTAAATTTTCTTTACTCTGTTGTTATTATGATGGAAGGTCTTAGTTCATGTTATAAAAAAGAAATAGAAAAAAAAACAAAACAAACAAAGTACCCGTATAACATTAATAATAAACACATTCGAACATAAATTAAAATAAGTATTAAACTACATTTTTTTGACCCTTAATATTTTGAAAAAATATTCTATAATTAATTTTATTTAACGTTTAGGATGTATGAAAGAGTATAAAGAAAAGAATTAGATATTAAAACATATAGGGCTCTTATTTTGAAATTAGGTTGCAGACTTCACCTTCCCTATAACAGATCAATAAATATTTTAAGTACAGAATTTTATTAAATAAATCTCAGTAACTTAAAAGTTCATTCAGTTTTAAGCTTTATTTTTCAATGTAGGTACACTTTAAATATTAGATCTAGTGTTAAAAAACGCTTCTATATTTATTAAAAATTTATACTGTTGTGTCAAAACAAATTCTAAGTTGAATATAATTATTTAAAAAATTTGATCACATAGGACAAAACTGATATATAAAAATAATAACTGGTATTAAAAGGTTGAGTATAACACAATAAATAATCAGTAGTAATTCATAAATCTGTAAATAAATCAATAAAATTGTCAAGTATGTTAACCTAACCATTTAACCCACTTGTATTACTTATTATAATGAAATTAATAATTTTAAATTGTATACAAAAAGAACTACTTTCATAAATATAAAATTAATAAAACAAATCATAGATAATGTTAAAAATATTTTAGGATAATGAAAAACTTAAACTTTACGCAATGGTATTTTTAAATATGCACTTTGTATATAATGCTTTCAGTTTATAAGGTATGGGAGAATGGCGATTTTTTTTTCCTTAACTTGTAGGAGGAAAACGTACGGCTAATACCCAGCCCCAGAAGAAGGCAATTACCCACTTTATATTACAAGTCATAAATATGATTTTTAATTGTAATATGATTTTTTACATATGTATGTACTAATAATCATTTTAATTAAAAATTAATTAATTAGTAATTTAATTAAAATGCTAAAAAAAAATCAAATATTTTAAATTTGTAAATAAGAGCAGATAAATAATTGTAATAGTAAATAATGTAATTTCAATCCTTAAATATATAAGTAATTCAAATTATATATAAACATAAAATACAGAAATTTAAAGATACAAGGATAGTTTTAACATTTTTCATTGTCATTTAATATTAAAAAACATGAAAAATTGGTCACTTTGTAAAAATTTATTTGTAAATTTTCTTCATTTCCTTTAAAAACTATGCATGTATGTGTATATGTATGCATTTGCATGTGTATAAGCGAATATTATTTTTTTTTTTATTTAAATATTTATACATACATAGTCACATTTGTGTCATTTCGATGCCCTATTGTTATCAAATTTTCTTTTATGTTATTTTAAATTCAAGGTAAATGTCATTATTCCGTGTTTTTTATTTTTCCCCCCATTTTTTTTTTAAATTATGTCACATAAACCTAGACTAGGTATTATTGATTTCTTTAGAATTATTAAAAAATATTTTATATAAAATTTTTTTTTTTTACAAAAAAAGGACAAATATTTATTGGCCGAATATTATACGTAATAATTTTAAGAATATAAGAAATGTGTATGTAATGAAAGGTATATATGAAATTGCATATATTTTGGCGTGTAAAATATATTTGAACTTTCTAAAAAATTTTATTAATAATGAAATTAAAATTATAATTATTTGTATAGTAATTAATTTATAAATATGTATAAGTTTTTGAATTTAAATTATGTATAAGTTTTTGAATTTTTTTAAATTAACTAAATTATAGATAATATTTGGTTATAATTTATATTAAAGCGATTATGTAAGATTTATATTATTGCCCATTATAATTGAAGTAAATACTCATATTTTGTTAGTCGCATTACTTGGTGTGATGCGATATTATTGGAAAGAATTTTGCTTTTCTGTATAAAATTTCGAATTTCGGTATTGATTTTATTCAGAAAATTGTAAGATTTTTAAGTGATGCGACTAACATAATATGGATTATTTAACTAATTAATAAAATGGGTTTTTTTATAAATCATTTTTTTATAAATCATTTCAAAATACAGAAATAAACCCGATAAAATCCAAATTTTTTTCCAAATAGTAAATGTTAAATTTCTTATCATTCAAATAATCTTCCTCTCTTAATTATCACTTTATAATTAAGAAAGTAAGAGAATTCAATTATCTTCTAATAGCTTTTGCTCCAGGTTTTAACCCCACTGTTTTATTTCATTAATACTTTCACTCTATTCTCTTTTATGTTTTTTTTCTGTTTTAACTTGATAAGATAAGACAATTTATCTTTTAGATAATAATAATAAAATCCATTGCAATTCTCAATACCGTTATCGATTATTGTAATTTTAGTTGAAATATTGTAGTCGTACCGGGCGTATTAATTTATATTTTGCCCCAAAATTAAAATTTCAAAATAATAAAAATGAATTTTAAAAAATATTTCATGTTAATTTTTCAAATAACATTATTAAATCAAATTACAATAGCAATTGATGGTTAGTCATTAAAGTTATACAAACAGAATGTGTGCACCACATTAAAATAGGCGAAATAATTGAAATTATGTGCAATCTCATAAATACATACTTTACATTTTATGTTGTGAACTTAAAAACTATGTAAACATATAATTTTTAATCTAATTTTTTTAATTTCTAACCATACATAACTATGTTGTCTTTGTATATAAATAGAAACTTCAATTATTGGCTTTTTGATAACAACTGTATATGTACATAATATCTAAAAATTATTTTAAAAATTAAAACACTGTGATTTTGTGTAATAAAAGGCGGCTAACATGACTATTTTCGGGGAGATATATATATATAAAATTTGAATGAATTGGAAATAAACTCGAATTTAAGATTAATTTCAATTATTTTTTAAGTTTTATGATAAGTTGTGGTTTTTCAATTCTAATTAAACAAACAATTTCTAATAGAAGTAACTTTATGTTTGTTCCATGATGGCATTTACTTAACATTTTCTAAAAATTCATAATTAAATAGTGCACTTCATGAAGCTTTTCTAAAACTTTCATTATTATAAATTTAAAATTCTTTAAAATTGTCATATTATTAACAAAATATTTTTTTTGACATAGTTTATAAAGTTTGTTCGGGTGATGGAACCAAAGAAATATGCACACAAATGTCCCGGGGTAATTCTGAAGTCAATTGTATATGGGTCCAAGATAGTATAGAATGTAAGAATAAATACTGATTCAATTATCAAATTTTAAAATTATATTAAAATTTTAAAATAAATTTCAAAAATAATTATGAAAATAATATTTAACATTATATTTTATGCAATAAGGTGCTCAAAGAATTCGAAATAAAACAGCAGATTTTGGTATGTTCTCAGCTGAAAGTATTTTACAATTAGCTGTATTAAATTGGCCAGAATTATCAATAGTACAACCCTTTGCACATAAGGAAAGACAAAGTGGTAAATTTTGTATTTTATATTTAAATAAAAATTTCATTTTTTAATTTTATTTTATTTTTGTTTTTTGCAGAATTTTCAGATTTTGAATCTGTTGTTATTGTTCGGAAAAATCATAAAGACGGTTTCAGTGGATTAAAAGGAAAAAAATATTGTCATCCAGGTTTTAATTATAATCCAAATGAAAAATGGTCTGAACGTTTCCTAAAACAATTTGAACGTACTGTTGTTATACCAAAATGTAAAAAAGATATATCTGCAATTGAATTAGAAATAGCTGCTCTAAGTGAATTTTTTGGTAATACATGTCGTCCCGGCATTTGGTCTCATGATGAAAATCAAGATAAAGAACTTAGTAAGTTTTTCATATTTTTACACGGGGCGCATCAAAACTTAAATGAAACTTTTTTTTGTAGAAAACAAATATTCTTCTTTATGTGAACTTTGTCCTAATAAAAAAGATTGCCGCTATGCAGATGAGCTAGAATTTGAAAAAAATCACGAATATGCATTGAAATGTTTAAAAGATGGTGGTGATATTGCTTATGTATCTTTAGAAGCTGCTCAAATTTTTTTTAATTCAACTAAGGTGATTTTATTATTAGTTTAATTTGAGAGTTGTACAATTAATTATTGAATTTTGTTAGGACAAAAATATCGATGAATTCCAATATTTATGTGTAGATGGCAATACAGTATCAGCAATTAAAAATGCATATCCTTGTACATGGTTACGTCAGCCGTGGAAATCTATTATAGCTAGATCGTAAATTAATGAAAATTCTTTGTTATTAAAATATTTTTTAAATTTGATTTTAAAATTTGTGTAGTGAAATTGATGCAGAAATTTACAAAAAATTAAGTCAATGGATACAAAAAGGATTGGATGGTGTTAGTTGGGAATCTGATCTAAGAAAAGTGTTAAAAATTGAAAAATTTGTTCCAGTGACCAATTTTAATATTCAAAGTCCCAAACATTATATTGAATCCTGTAAGCATTAATAAAGTTAAAATTTAAGGTAAAAATATTACAGAAATTCTCTTTTTTTTGTAGACCGTCCTGTACCAACAGAAGAAACATTCTGTAATATTGTTATTTCTTGGTGTACAACATCTCTTATTGAACAAGAAAAATGTATTATTTCACGTGCTGGAGGAATTAGTACTGGAATTTATCCACAAATAAAATGTCGTACACCGGTTCATACACCAATTCAATGTTTAGAAGATATTAGTCGGAATAATGCTGATTTTATGGGAATTGATTCAAATTACGGATGGTTAGCACGTTCTAGATTTAATTTAACATCAGTTTTATTCTTTGATACTGAAGTCGATCAATTCTCGACAATTGTTGTTGTTATTAAAGAAAAATCTAATATCAAAAGTTTTGAAGATTTACGTGGTAAAAAAATTTGTCTTCCCGAGTATGGTTCTAGTACAGGTGTTGCATTAATAAATGAATTAAAAGATATGAAAATTTTTGATAAAGAAGCTTGTAATTATGGTTTTATGTTGAAAAATTTCTTTGGTGATTCTTGTCTACCAGGTGCTCAAAATTGGAAATATATCGAAACGCAAAATACATCATTTACATCATTATGTAAACTTTGTCATCAAAGTGGTGATAAAGGTTATGGAGGTGGTGATTTAGCTGTTTCAATTAATACACAAACAAGTAATATTGGTACTAGAACATCTTTTGAACCAGCATGGAAAAAAGCTAAATGTACATACATACATATATTAAAATTTTGAATTTTATAGAGTAAAAGAAAAATTTTATTTTGAAATTAATTATTATTGAAATCATTTTTATTTTTATATTGATTACAGTTACAAATTGTGAAGCTGATATTGGAAATAGATATTTTGGTAATCGTGGTGGTTTAAAATGTTTACGTGAACTTGGAGATGTAGCCGTATTAGAATTACAATCACTTAAAGGTAAAAATTATTCTAAATAAATATGGTTGCACTCATTGTTTTCATGGATAACATCGTATTTTTTTTTATTTTAGTACATGCTGAAGAAGTCGAAATTGATGAACATGAATTTAGAATTTTATGTAAAAATAATAGTTTAGCTATAGAACCCGGTTTTGACGTTGATTTAAATTGTGCTTTAACAAGAGTTGTTGATGGTGAAATTGTAATGTATAGAAAATCAACAAAAATTTCATCAGTTGTACATGTACTTCAAGCATTAGAACATTATTTTATTAGAAAAAATGATCCAAGTTTTAAAATTTATAACATTTATAAAAGTGAAAGAAATTTATTGTTTAAGGTACGTTAAAAAAAAACTTTTTTTTATTTTTTGTCATGAAATTAAAATTAAACACATTTTATTAGGATTCTACAATTGGTTTAACACATCCGGATTCATTAAATCAAGGACGTATGGTGGAAAATTATAAAAAATTATTTAGGGATATTGAAAAATGTGCCGGTAATCCAGATATGAGAGGTAACTATAATAATGAAAAATCCTTAATTTCAATTATCACTATTCGGTATATAAAATATCTAAGTTTGAATTTTACATAATAGTTTTCCTACGTTCATTCTACTCCCTTTGTACAATTTACGTCAAAGAATTATTTCAACTTCTTATCAAACTATAATATAAATAATAAATTTTTAATTTCAAAGTTAATTACATAAATTTCATTTTAATTGTAATGTTTATTATTATTTAATGAATGTTTTTTTAAATTTTATTAAAACGACAATATTAAATGTTTTGAAAATGATTTTTGATATTTTATAAGCAGTCTGTATAAATATGTAAATGAATTTTAATAAAATTATTAAATCATGCAATAATTACACGGTCATTAGCTCATTTAAATTTAATAATAATTGTTAAACTATTAATCTAGATTCTAGAATGAATTAATTTTTTATTTTATAATTATTTATTATTTACGAGTACATAAATTAACAACAATATGTTTTATAATTTGTATATTTTACTTTAATTTTTATTATTATATTTAAAAAAATATTCTAAAAAATAATACATAATTATGTAAAATGTTTCAAAATACTTTAAATTCACATTTTACATGAGATCTCTAGAATAAATATTATTACTTGCATACATACTTCCTTACTTTTTACTTAATGTGCATAAATAAATCATATAACACATAAGATAAATGACAGGAACTTGTATGCACAAATTCAAAATTTTATAATAATTCGCAAACTAAGATTTAAGAATAGGAAGAGCAAGACCTTTATTCAAATTTTAGCAAAATCAATTTGAAATATTTAACAAAATGTTCCACAATCTAGCGTAATGAACTGTAAAGCTATAAATCAAAATTAGAGATTTCTACTAATAAAATATTTTTAATATAGGTAGGTACATGTTAGCCTTAACAATATTTTTAGTTTTATATAAATGAATTTTTTACAAATTTGCCATTTAACAAAATTTAATAATCTAATTTTTTGATAATTTAATAATCTATATGAAAAATTATTGAATTGTAAAAATATATGTCAACTAAAATTTAAAATGCAAGACATATTCAGAAACGTAATGTTGCAAAACCATAACTGGGAAGTTCAATATTCTGAAAACAATAGAAACATAATTTTATAAAATCAAAATATTAATTTCGCAATATTGCGACAATTTACTAATGCTAACAAGCAAGGTTAGCAACATTAGTTTATAGACGGAAATATAGCGCAATTTTCAATTTATATAACAATACCGTTATGAAGAGGCCTACAATATTGACGCCGCTATATTGTGTATGTAAATCGTATATATGTATATATCGTATAATAAGTTTTATATTCACGTGTATAATGGCACTTGATCCTAACGCACAATACGTCATTATGGTTTTAAAATGTAAACATATATACATAGATACTTTTATTAAATCAATGTATAATTGACTGTATAAATTGAACAACGAACAACAGTCACGCTATAACAATTATTTCCTTCAAATGAAATTTTTTTTTTTCGTTTTTACATTTTTTTTTAAGAATTTTAAATAACAATTCAGAATTTAAATTGGAATTGCAATGAGAAATATAAACATGCCTTTTTAAATACAAAAATTTTATTAACTTTTGATTTTGAAGCCAATTATGTCAAATAATTGTAATATTGATGACAAATGAGAAAAATTTTCTGTCAAGCCCTGAACAAAAAAGAAAAGATTTTTTTTTACGGAAATTTCAAAAAGAATTTATTTTGATTATGAAAATATTATGTTGTATGCATAATTACAACCTTATAGACATTAATTTACTCATGTACATACATTTATATATCACCAACACATTAATTAATAGAAATATACTTTTATTCCCATAAAGTATGAGATACCATTTGTGGTGGGAAAAAAAGGGTTTCGGCTGTTCACATTTGATTCGGCATAATTAATCATTTAATATTGAGTTCTGCAAATCACAATTAAAAAATTGTATGGAATAAATTCTATTGGGCCAAATTCGGAACACAAATTTAATAATCAAAAAATTAATAATAAATTTGTAACAATTGTCAATAGTTAATATTATTAATAATTATTTTAGCTGTATAGTCTTATGTTTGGTAGCATTTTAGAAGAATTATAAAAAAGAATCGAAATAACATGGAAATTGAGAAATTTGAAAAATTTGCCTACCTCACGGGGCATGTATATTTGAATTGAATTCATATTGTATTAAAACGAAAATACGAATTTAATCAAACAACAATAAGCAGATAGCAGATAAAAAATCCAAATATATATATACATATATATATTAAAATGTTTTCGTACTTCAAAATGCATGCCTTATGAACATTCTTAGTGTCTTCACCGGGACGGGTTAGATATTCTTCTTATACAATTGAAGCTTTTCGTATCTTACTTCTCATTCTAATTATAAAAAACCTCGTAGTTTATCAATATTTTTTTTTTCATTCATTTCTTCCTTAAAATTTTGAAAAAAAAGATTCATTTATTTTTCTAACTACTTAATCATTGCAAAAAACAAAAAAACAAATAAAATATTACGTAACAGTAATGAATTTATGACAAATTCAGTTATCAGTTGGACACTTCATTCACTATTTCTCATATATGTATACGGATGTGTGATTATGTATGTACATATGTATGTGTATGTGGCTTAAGTAAATAATCAAAAGCAAATCAAATTTTATGATAAATATATTTAATATAATAGTATAAATTTCTATATACATATTTGTATGTGTTTAGTAGTATTTGAAAAAAAAAAATATGACACATTAAGGTGCCGCCTATATCACAAAGTGTGAAATATTAAGAATGTCCGGTCTTCCAATTTTGATATCATTGGTAACAGATATTTTGGCCTATGTGACTTTACCTAATTTAAAGGTAAAGGTAAAGGTGACTTTACCTAATTTAAACTAAGATAATTTAAAGGCTATTCAAAATTATCTTCCAAATTCAAAAAATTCGATAAAATTCTTTTGTTAGCATCTGAAGACCAATAAATCGTATTAGCAGTAGAATGATAGTATAACAAATCCAAAATCCTAAAAAGCTTTCACTATTTATCTACCTCTAGTTTAGGTCATTCTAGAATTCCAACCCTTATGTATGGCATTGTAGTCACCTCCTATTAGGAATCTATTTGCATTCGGATATTCCTTAAAAATATTTTTCTTTTATAATAATGGAGCATAATATATGGGAGAATCATATAATCCTAAATATAAACTTGTAGAACACCCTTTACAATACTCGTATTAATATTTATCAATGTAAAATTTAATTACTGAAAATTTTTAATTATTAACTTATTAGAGTTGAGTAAATGTGTATAAATGTAAAAATGAATTATGATTCATTTTAATCGCATACAAGCCATACCTTTTCAAATTCAATAGAATTTTAACAAACGATATCTATTTTAGAAAACAGTGATGTCACTTATATTATTACTATTATTGAAATATTGATATGAGCACACAATGTAAACATACAATATTTAGTAATTTAATTTCACTCTTTTTACCATTTAAAATCTAAATAATCCGATATAACATAAAAAATTATATATACACACATATAATATACAAATATTATACATACATTCATAATTTTCTGAGATTAATAATTTCGATTTTTGATTTTTCTTGCAAATTTGAGAAAATTTTAATATATTTATGTAGTAAGGTATATACAAATAAATTTTATTTAGAGTACGTATAGCATGTGAGTGTAGATACAAGAAGTGTTGCTATATTTAGATTTGTCAAATTCCAACAAAGTATATACGAAATGTTTAATCTATTAGAATTTCTCACAAAACACATTAAAAATTCTCATAAATATTCCCGTATTCATGAAACATCAAAAACAAAACTTACTACCATAACAGTAAATTATTATAGTATGCCATAATGATGTTTGTGCATAGCATTGAAAAAATATACGTTATTAGGAAAATATGCAACAGGAATCGGCTGTGTCTTACAATAGACCTGTTTAGAAATTTAAAAATTCGCCCGACTAGGCATTTGTGTTACTATAAAGTATTAAGATTGTTTTTTTTTTATAAGAGAAAAATGTTTGAATAGCAGGAGAATGTTCACGAATTATAGTCAAATTAGTATATAGTTGTACAAATTACAGATTTCTTGCAAATGCTCCTGAATTCTCTATACCACTATAGTTATTGAAATTTTAATGATATAGTTTCTGTACGCTTATTCAATATGCTTTCATAAAAGCAATAAGTATACAATTAGTAATTAATATAACAGATAGTTTTGAGGAGCCCTCGCATATAATTTTGTTTTGTATTTTTTTTTGATTCTAAACATTTGATATCTATGACCAGTATAGGCATGAACGAGATGAAAGTAGTATTGTGTGATTTATGAAAATTCTCACATATTTTTATTGAATTCCCTTTTCTCTTATTAAATTTTTCGTTCAAATTCTCATAATATAGAAAAATCTTTCAATATCGCAACACTGAGTATGTAAGATATGATAAAAGATTAGATAAAAAATTTTTTTTTTATTTTTAAATCAGCAATTGAAATTGAACTTTATATTTTATAAGAATTAAGGGTTCAGTTTAAGTGCGTCCACGGGCGTGTTAATTTATTTAATTTTCTTTTAAATTAATTTTTATGTGTAAAAATTAAAAAATTAAATTTTAGTAAAAAATGGAATTAAAAATTTTCTCAATAGTTTTTGTTCTTTTATATTTATGTAATATAAATGATGCATATGATGAAGGTTAGTGTTTATTTATACAAATTACAATTATATAAGGATACAGACAGATATGCAATTTTTAGTTTTACAACTGTTTGATTGCTTATTTCATAGGTTTTATATTCAAACGCGCTCACATGCAACTGTAAGATCGCATGCAATTAAACAATCAAACAGTTTGTAATTTTTTACAAATTAATTGTAATTTTTAGTTAACACAATCGATTTGAATTGAGTTAAAGTACTTTAGATGTTCGCTCAACGATTCTACAATCAAGAAGCTGTAAATTGTAAAATTAAAAATTTCATATCTGTCTAAGCCCCAAAGGTAATTTACATTTTATTAAATTTTTCCAAAGAAAATTCGAAATTAGATTTGTACATAATTTTAATTAATACATTTTAAAGCATAAGCCTACAAGCCAATTTTATTTTTCCAGGTTTAATTATAAAAAATATTTTCAATTAATTAAATTAATTTCAAAAGTTTCAAACCTGTATTGTAATATTATAAAATTTTTAAACTTCCCAATTGAATTTTATTCAAATATTTGAAAGTTTTAAGAACATACCTACTTTGACCGATCCTATAAATTAAAAAAATTTATTTTTATCAATTTATTTAAGGCATAGACTTAGTTTATTTTTCAATTAAGCAAGTACACATACATTATCTTTATACGTAAGGAAGGGTATTTTAATGTCCTACAATATTATATCTCACCTAATATGTTTATATACATATGTATGTATGTACATATATAAAAAATATTATTATACATTAATTTGTACAGTCAACAATATATTTTCAAAAAATTTTATTGACTTATCATATCAGATAATAACTATAGCACAAGATAATAATAAATTTTTTCAATAACTTAATCAATTCAAATTTCAAATTACAAACATACATGTTATATCGACTAAATATTAAAAAAACTTAACGCAAATTATACAAATATATGCATATGTATATGTATATATGTATGTATAAATATAAAATATGAGAATAATATTAAGATTATATAATATATAGGTTTAAATGATGACTTAATTACAAAAAAATTTCAAATTGCCCAAGTTTTGGGGGAAAAAATATCCCTTCGAAATAAATATATTGGAGTTTATTCTAAAATATCGAATATCACTTATTGATTCGATACTTAGAATAAGTATCGAATATAGTATACTTGTTGCATACTTCTAGGAAATCGTATTTCATTTCAATATAGAAATCATAATTAGTAACAAATCTGTCTCTTACACTAATCAATACATTTTTTTTGTGTTGAAAGTAAGCTGAAAACAATTTTATTGATCTTAATTATAAGGAACATTTTTTAGTCAAAAAATCAACAGATTGTCTTAAAAAATTGTAAATATGTAAGTTGCGTCTGACAATGTAAAGAAATAACAAACTTTTCGGAGAAATCAGGTTTCTTGAACAACTGGGATCACTTTGCTTATATACAAGAAGGTAGATTTTTATAAAATTTCATATTTAATCTCTTGTTGTTAAAACAATTTAATTAACAAATGTTTCGGAGATATTCGGGAAAAACCAAACTTTCATTTACGCTGTTAGTTTTATATTTTTGACAGTATTTCTGTAATTATCTAATAATTTTCTGAAATTTAAAATTTGAGTTCTGTTCGCTTTAACGAAACTTACTAGCAAACTGTTAAAGAATGTTTAAGAAAATGTTACTCATCAAAATAGGTTCCTCTAGTTAATATCATAATGGTCGAAATTTATTTATTTATTTTATCTTATCGGCCATTCGAAAAATAAAATTAATAAGTTGACGTAATTATTTTTATATAAATTAATTGTTTTTTTATTTTCAAATTTATTATAATTATTATGAAATCTTGACCGGTACATTTTTATATTAAATAGACTTCCGATTTCAACTTTTTGCGTTAGCAACGTTATTTTTAATTATAACTTCAATTCTACATAACATACATATTGAAAATTCAAACATAATTATTATTCTCAACTTGATTTCAGTATACAAAGTTTGTTCAGGAGATGGAAGCAAAGAAATATGCACCCAAATGTCACGTGGTGATAGTAAAGTCAATTGCGTATGGGTCCAGGATAGTATTGAATGTAAGAAATTTTTGACAATTACATAACATGTAAATAAAATTAATATTAAATATATAATGCAAGGTGCACGAAGAATTCAAAATAAAACAGCCGATTTCGGAATGTTTTCCGCTGAAAGTATTTTACAATTAGCTGTATTAGAGATGCCAGAATTATCTGTGGTACAATCATTTGCACATAAGGAACGTCGTAACGGTAATATACTCGTACATACTTACAAATACTTTGTTTAAAAAACTTTCTAATAAAAGACAACACAAATTAATTATTTTTTAAAAATTCATTATAGCGGTTTCTGATTTTGAATCAGTTGTGATTGTACGACAAACTCATCAGAATGGTTTAGATGGATTAAAAGGTAAAAAATATTGTCATCCAGGTTTTGATTATAATCCAAACGAAAAGTGGTCTGAACGTTTTTTCAAACATTTCGAACGTTCAGTTGTTACACCAAAATGTGAAAAAAATAAATCACCATCTGAATTAGAAGTAGCAGCATTAAGTCAATTTTTCGGTGACTCATGTCGTCCTGGTATTTGGTCATATGATCAAAATGAGGATAAAGAACTAAGTAAGTTAAAAATTAAAAAAAAAAATATTAATTTTAAGTATAAATGTTATGTTTTATAACTTTCAAAATTTTTAAGAGAAACAATATCCATCCCTATGTAAATTATGCCCAAATAAAAAGGAATGCAAATATAGTGATAAACCTGAACTGGATCAGAATCATCAAAATGCACTAAAATGTTTAAAAGATGCTGGTGACGTTGCCTACGTATCCTTACAAGAAGCACAACTATTTTTTAATACTACAGCAGTAAATAATAATTACAATTGTTATATTTTTATTGTTTCTTTTTAATGAAAAGTAACTGTTTCTAGGATGTCAATCCTGATGATTACCGTTATTTATGCGCTGATGGAAACACAGCTCTTATTACACAAAGCGGACATCCCTGCACTTGGTTACGTCAACCATGGAAAGCTGTTATTGCGAGATCGTAAGTTTTTTTTATCAACAACCTTTGCTTTTAATAATTGCTTGTTATCTATTTAAATCACTATATATATATATTTTCAACTATAGTGATATTGATTGGGATATCCAGAAAAAATTAGCCCAATGGATGCAAAAAGGATTAGAAGGGATAAGTTGGGAATCAGCCTTAAGAAAAGTTTTGAAAGTTGAAGAATTCGTAAAAACTGACTGGACTAAAATTCAAAGTCCTAAGGACTATATAATACCATGTGTGTTTTATTATTTTATTAAGTTTTGCATCAAATTATTATTCTCATTAACATATCAATAAACTAAAACACTATGTACATAATAAACATTAATGTCTATCATATATTCACTGTAATAGATCGACCAGTTCCAATTGATGACACATTTTGCAATATGCATATTTCTTGGTGTACAGTATCAGATGTTGAATACAGAAAATGTCTCATAGCAAGAGCTGGTGGTATTAGTACTGGAATATATCCACAAATCAAATGTAGATCGCCAGTTAATGGACCTGTACAATGCTTAGAAGATATAAGTCGTAACGATACTGATTTTATGGGAATCGATTCAAATTATGGGTGGTTAGCTCGTTCAAATTATAACCTTACTGCGGCATTATTTTTTGATACTGAAAATGATCAATTTTCATCCATTGTTATTGTTATTAAGGAGAACGGCGATATCAAAAATTTTGCGGATTTAAAATCAAAAAAAGTTTGTCTTCCTGAATATGGTTCAAGTACGGCAGTCTCATTAATTAACGAATTAAAAGATAAAAAAATTTTCGATAAAAATAATTGTAATTATGGAAAAATGTTGAAAGATCATTTTGGAGAATCATGTTTGCCAGGCGCTCAAGATTGGAAATATGTTAAAACAAATGATGAATCATTAACAACTTTGTGTAGTTTGTGCTTTAAAGGTGGCAATTCTGGTAATGAAGGAAACAATGGTCTCGGTGTTTCAATAAATACTAATGAAAGTGGTAATGAGACTTCATTGGAACCATCTTGGAAAACTGCAACAAGTAATTTTGTCCCTTTTAGACATATTTTTAAACAAAAATTTTTAAAAGAAAATATTAAAAATTTTAGTATCAAGTTGTGCTGCAAATGGTAGCAATCGTTATTTCGGTAATCGGGGAGCTTTAAAATGCCTAAATGAGGTAGGAGATTTTGCAGTTTTGGAATTGCAATCCCTTAAAGGTAAAAAAATTGGTGCACACATATTTTCCTCTAAATACACAATCATAATATATACTTAAAAATGTGCATACATGTACATTATGTGTATACAGACTGTGAGGGTCTAAATTTGCCTTCATGTACCATTGCATATCAAAAACAGTGTTGCTTTTGAAAATATCCAGTTAACATTTTCATTTGTATCTTAAAAATTTAAGTAACTACATCAATTACACTGTGCCTGGCAAAAGCTAGCCAACATAATTTGCAGCCGAGAGGTTGCAAACTCTCATAAAATCTGAAAAAAGGATTTTTGTCGAAAATCCAACATCTTTTAGTTAAATATTATGTATGTAATTTTAAATGTTCAAATTAATATGCATAAAATTTTGAACGATATTTTGCTTTTGTTGGAAATTTTTATATTAAAATTTCAGCTTTGCAAAAGTAAAGGGGCTCAATTTTAGTATATATTTTATTGAAATTTGACGCTCACAGTATATATTTTATTTTACTAACATATGTATTAATGTATGTACATTAAAATATTTAAATATGCTTCATAAAATATGTACATATATTATTGCTATACCTACATTATATTATCAAGTATTAATTTTTTATTTACAAATATACTATCCAGTGCATGCAGAAGAAGTTGAAATAGATGCAAATCGATTTAAAGCTTTATGTAGAAACAATAGTTTAAGTAAAGAAAATGGATTTGATATTGATTTAGATTGTGCTTTAACAACAATTGTTGATGGTGAAATCGTAATGTACAGAAAATCACCTAAAACTTCATCAGTTGTACATGTACTTCAAGCGTTAGAACATTACTTTATTAGAAAGAATAATCCCAGTTTTAAAATATACAATATTTATGAAGGACAAAGGAATATTTTGTTCAAGGTACATAAATATACAAACATGCAACAACATATATATATTGCAATGTATTCATATATGAATATAATTTTGGTTTTTTATTTCATTTTAGGATTCTACAATTGGTTTAACTCATCCGGATTCACCAAATCAAGCACGTACGGTAGAAAACTATAAAAAATTGTTTAAGGATGTTGAAAAATGTTCGGGCAATTCAGCAGTAACTATATATATTAATGCTTTGTCTTCCACTTTTATAGTTTTGTTTGCATATTTTTTAAGTCAATAATTTTTATTTAAAAATGAATAAAATTTTTTTCTAGTATTCAAATTTAGAAATATACATACATTTTACAAAATATATACATACAATGTATATTACACGACAATATAGAATTTAAGATTATGGTACCATGTAATTTATGCTCATTTAATTTGGAGCTTTACCGACAACACCTTACCTTATTTTTTTTTTATATTCAACTAAAAAAATGAATGAAATAATAAAGTTAGTAAAAATTTTAAATTAATGTACCTAACCATATCTTTTTTTACCTATTCTTTATATACTTTTATAAATCCATAATACAGTCGGCAATTTATTGCCTTCGTGGAGTATCTACCAGTTACACTTATTTAAATTCAAATTAGAATGCTGTAAAGTGTATTGCCTGAACAATAATGAAACACAATTCATACATAGTAACTTATACAAAACTTATATTTATTAGTATTTATTGAAAGATTAATAAATTAAGCTATAATCACTACATTATACGCACATATATACATGCATATGAACATACATTCATGCATATATATGAATATACCTTTTTTTAATCTAAATGATTGCAATTTTTAAATTTTAATTGAAAATTTTAATAGAAAAAAATTTTGTTTTTTTATTGAAAAATTGGAACATAAATTTTTTTGCAGTTTTCGGAAATATTAGCTACTGTTTAATAATTTTGATTTTAATTCACTGTGTTGGCTTTGTTCTGTCTTGCCATATAGAAACTTGGTAACTTGGTGGACCTGTTGTTTGTGACACGTTACCTACGTCGTTGCTAAAAAGAAAATAAATCTGATTTATAAACCTGTATTTTTTTTTTTTTTTTGGAATATTCTTGTTTCAAAAAAATTTACTTACTTAAAAATATTAAGGATATATTTTGAATGACTAATAATTTCTTCACATTCATCCTTTGAATGACATAAATCTAAAATTTGATTTAAAGTACTTTGAACATTTTCGATGACTTTCAATCTTTCTTTTGCTTTACTAGATTCTGATAGAGTTTTTAATGCTGATAAAATGTGTTCTACTTTTGCGCTATAATTTCCATCATAACATTTTAATGATTCCTTTAAAATATAAAATAAGATTTCAATAGCTCCCAATTTTAAAAATTGTTCTCGAACTTCTGGAAATTCAATCGACAAAGCATCAACTAAAAACGCAGCTTTTGTCAATATTTTTTCTTCCGAAATTTTTCGTTTTATGCAATCTAAAATCATTTCTAAACCATCTTTTTCTACATAAATAGCAAGAGCTGGTTCATACCTCCTCACTAAACATGATATCGCATGTAAAGTACTTTTAATAACATTATTATCACTATCATTCAAAAATTTTATCAAGCGAGGGATCATATCTATTTCTGTAAAGTGCGATTGTGCAAATGGATTGTTTTGACTTATTTCACCAACCAATTCAATAGCCGAAGTTTTTATTCGAGAATCTTCGGAGTTTAAGCATAAAATAATAATATTGGCTCCACCAATTTTCAAGAAATTGTTAGCTAAATCTATGTCACCAGCTAATTCTTCAATCATTTCAAGTGATTGTAATTTCTCATCAACACTAGATTCTGCTGATTCAAGAATTTTTACAGCCTTTTCTAATTCTTCCATAATATCAACAGTCCAACTTTTTAAAGCATTTTCCAAAAATTTTCTTCTCTCTGGATCCATTTGTTCATATACAGATTCATGTGGTGCATCTTCAGATTTGGTCTGTTGGATAGCAAACCTTAACAGAGCTTGCAATGAATCAATCCGTGGATGTTGTAAATCACTATTACTGTTTTCGTTTTTCATTTTAAAATATTTAATTCTCAGATATTTGAAAATGTATTATTTATTCTTAAACAAGAGACATACAATGTATGTTGCCAGAATCGAATATAACAAAATACTAGCAGTCAACCATAACCTATTTTCGTTTTATTAAGTTTGTTTACCTTTTTTTTTACTCTGAAATATCTAGAAATTTCAAGAACATTTTATTTCGTAAAGTTGGCAGAATGAAAGAAATATGAATAATTAGCGACATCTTGAGTAGAAAATATTAACAGTTTAATTGTGTATGAATCTCACTTTTGTCTGTCACTTTTTATTCACTTTCGAATCAGAATTCTCCGTTTTTCTAATGGAAAATTTTTCTAATAAATTGCTGTTTTTCAATTGGATTTTTTTTTCTGAAATCATCAGCTGAGCATTGCACCTTCAAAAACAAAGTGAATAGTATTGTATACATTTTAAAAAACAGGGAGGCACGATACGAAATATCACTCGAAATCTCACTCGAAAATTACATTACTCAAGAACATTTTGCATACACACATGTATATATATGCATGTATATTTTTTATATAAAAGGCGGATTTCCACTCAATGTCCAGACGTCCGGACAATAATATTTTTACACTGTTAAGATGCAAATGCAAATATCATGAACATAAAAAGGTTGATTTCCACTACTCCCGAAGAACTGACATTTCTGATGGACTGACGTTTGCTATTGAGTGTGTGTTTTTGCTTCAGCCTTCAGCCAGAAGTTAAATATTTTTTAACTCAAAAAATTGGATGAACGAACTGTCAAGTTATTTTAGTATTACCTATGTGTTAGTAAAATGAAGGTTTCTGATTGGTTGAAAATTTTGTCCGGACGTCCGGACATTGAGTGGAAATCCGCCTAAAGTTTACACTTTTTGAAGATAAAAAAAGAAATTTTTGGGGCGCATAAGGGTTTTGTCGCTTTTAAACGGAACATTTTCAAGTTGAACTAGTTTTTATCTTGATAGTTCATTGGTTTTTATGAATAAAATTGAAAAATTTTCCTTTTTTTTTTCCTTCGTTTGACATTTTTTTAAAAATATAAAAAAAAATTTGATTCAAATAAAGAGACGTTCACAAAAACCAAGTCAAGAACCAAACATAAGTCACAATTTGCATCGATATACATATTTTCATTTTCGGCGTCTTCCACCTATTAATGTATAATTGGAATTGGCTTTTGGCGTGCAAGCATGTTTTCTCCTCATATGATAATGTAAGTCACCATAAGTTCGAAAACATTCGCTGCCACATACATCACACTTGTAATCTTTTGTTTCAGCATGTACTCTTTCGTGCATTTTCAAACTTTTTTCCGTTGCTAAAATTTTAAAATCGCTAAAATTAAATTTGTGATCAAATTTTCAAATTTAAAAACATACTGTGACCAGATGAGCAAATTCCACATTTGAATGTTTTATTTTTTGCCTCAACGATTTCCTTTATATCAGAAACCTCACGGAAAATCTCACCTAACTTATATAAGCCTGTAATAATAAGATCAGTTTGATTAATGTTAACAATTTTTATATCGACGTTGAACCTTTTTTTTCTAGATTTAGATAGGTTTTTTTAACAATTGGTGCACACCTATGCTCTCTAAACAAATGGCATCTTAATGAAGATTGCGTTCGGAAACATTCCGAACATTTTAAACAAGAGTAGTTTTTTGTTTTCTCATGAGTTTTTCTATGGTACTCCCTTAAGTTTTTACCTAAATTTAAAAAAAAACAACAAATTTTATGTATTCAAATGCATGTGAATTATATTTTGGAGCTACATACATACATACACGAAAATGCAAAAAGCATACAATGTATGATTTTGTACCTCATCGGTCTCATACCATTGAATACCATACCATACATTTCTTCATTCATGCAAAATTTTATCCTTATTCAAATTTATGTAATATTAATGCAAAACCTATTTTTTAGTTCGATTCACTAAATGTAAGAAGTATTTGTTTGGCTGAAGTGTATCTACTTACTTATATAAACTGAACACAATTTGCATTGGAATTTTTTTTCTGCGTGGGTTTGATGCTGTCTTCTATGAACATTCATAGCACTAGTGCAACGAAATCTAGCACCGCATACATCACACTGAACTGGTTTGTCATCTATATAAGTATAAAAAAAAATCTACTTTAGATTGAAACTAGAAGAACTACTTGAGAAAAAGTTGGACGATTAAACGTAATTGAATGAGCATGGAGTCTTATGTATGTATATCGTTTTACTTACCAGTATGAACCCTCTCATGTATTTGCAATTGAGCTTTAATACGGAACCTTTTCTCTGCAATATAAAAGGGTTTAGCACGTGTTATACAGGCACATACATATATGTATATGTATGTAATGTTCTATAAAAGCAAAATGATAACACTGAAATATATGCTAATTGTGATTACCACAAAATGAACAAGGAAATCTCAACTGCCCTGTATGAGTCGTAAAGTGAACTTTAAGCGCAGTTCGTGTACGATAAGCTTTGGGACATAAACTACATTTTTCAGGTCTAAAAAAAAACAAAAATTACTCTCATTACATACTTAATTAATTTAACAACTTTTCTCCACTGTGAATTCGCATATGAATTTGTAAACCTGTTTTTGAAGTCAAATTTGTTCCACACTCTTCACATTTAAATGACCTCGTAGACGATGGTTCAAAATGAGTTTTAATATGATAATTTAATGAGCTTGTCGTTAAATAAATTTTGCCACATTGGGGACACAATTGTTTTTCATTATTTGATTTTTTTTTAATATTGGACTCTAATTCATTATTTTCAAGAAATTCTGAATCATCTCCAAGTGGAAGATTAATATCCAATTTATGATCACTATCCAATTTATGATTAATATTCAATTCATCACCAATATTCAATTCACTACTTTCAGCTTGTGTATTTTCAACATCACCGTCAATATTTTCAAAAGCCTCTACATTTTCATTTACAAGTTTATTCTGAATATTTTCAATATTTTTTTCAAAACTAATTAATTCTTCATTATTGTTATTCTCACCGTCAATTGTATTTGTTTTTTCATTAGAATTTTGGGGGCACGCTCCACTAATTTGGTCAGTTTGGTCTTTTAAATGCGTTTTGATAAAATGACTTAGAAATTTTTCAAGACGCTCAAACTTTTTTTTACATACTTTGCAACTAATCCAGCATAGCCCTTTGGAAGAATTTTGAACTATAAACACTTCACCTTGGCTTGGCACAGCATTATATGAGGATTTTACATTTTCCCTAGCATAAGTTTTTATATTATGAATCTTTTTTAAAGAAAGTTTAGTCATTTCATCAATTTCCAAATCTTTTTTGACTTATTTACTATACCTATATGCATTTATGTATGTCGATATTTTATACAAAAACTATCGAAAAATTTTAGTAGATTTTGTTTTGTGTAAAGTGGTGTTTACACATTCAACTTTGTTAAAAGATTTTATATTACTAGAATTAAATGTCGTTATATTTTTCCGGCAATCAAAAACCACAATTTTTTGTAAAATTTTTATAATATCAAACAAAACCTAAAAGGATTAATGTTAATTCTGACATTTGCAGTGTCTCTGATGTGAATGCTGTCACCAAAAATTTTTCTTTAATTATTTTGACTAAATAAACTTTTTAGATTTGATTAATGATTTCTCTACCATTCCACTAACCACTTAACTATCCATGGTTTAATGATTTATAAGGGTTTGTTTTTTTACCTTATTTACCAATTATTTTTTGATAAAGATGTTCCAAAAGTAGCCTCGATTTTTTTATCCTATCGATTTGATTAGAAAATTCTTGTTAAGATTCAACGCAAGTAGCTTTTATATGTATGATCTAAAAATCACTAAGAAAGCATATAAAAGTACATTTTTAGTTATAGTCTATATTTAAATGTAAAGGATGTGAAATTACTTTGTCTACAAATAAATCTTTACAATTCAACATGTGGCTTCATAATAAAGAAAGGTCCAATCACAACATTTCTTGAGAAAATTTATTTATAAATGCAAATACATGAAAAGTACGTACTGGTTAGTAAGTTACAAGTTTTACTAATACGTATTTTTTATTACTAAAGTTTTTTATAATTTACAATGAAAGGGCCAAAAGCCCGGCGATAAAATAATGTGAAATTTTCGATAGATTTTTGAATCTAAACCGCATATTCTAGACCTAAAATATAAAAAATTAGATAAAAGGCCATCTCAGTGTGATGTATGCGGTGGAAGATTTTGAAGAAATGGTGCTTTAAATGTCCACAGAAAGCTATATAACAAAAATTATTAAAGTAGAATAAGTAATTTTAGGCTTCTTAAAGCATCGAAACGGAAAATAGTAGAAAAAACCAATACATTTAAGAGACTTGTTTGGCTTATTTCAATAAGTTTTTATGTTAAGGTTTTTAAATTTCTAAAGTTGAACATTTTCATTAATTGCGTAGACAAAAACTCTTTAAAACAACATGAAAGAACCTATACTGTATTAAAAGATTATTTTTATAAACTTTGTAGAGTTCGTTTGCGAACACGTTCTGGACTTGAAAAAAGAATTTTCACAAGAAAGCTAATCCTTCTAAAATGAAATGGTTTAATATAACTGACATAAAAATTATTTGTTAGAATTAATTTTTTGTTTGTGAAAAAAATTAGAAATAATTTGCTATTTCGTGAGATTTTTGATTCTAAAAAAATTTCTAATGCAGAGAATATAACAGAAAGACAATTCGTATGTCAAATTTGTAGATCTGATTTTAGTACGTTTTTAAGTTTATAATTTTTAATAAAACTTTAACTTTAAATAACTTATAATTTTTTAGCAACGAAAAAAAAATTTAAAAACGCATGAAAGGTGTCATGCGACAATGAAAAATTACGGTGCGATATGTGTGACGACGAATGTTTTAGAACTTATGCCGACATAAATTATCATATGAGGATAAATCACAGTTGCACAACTAAAGCGAATTTCAATTATACTTTGATAGGTGGAAGACGTCGAAAATAATATACATATACATATATATTTGTTAAAACTGCTTTTTCTTTTTTATTTATATAGCATTCTAATTTAAAATATTCATATTCAACCAATTCTTTCAAAATTGTATTATTATCGCTTTGTCTCGGAAAGCTTTTTTTTATAGTAGGGATATATCTTAATGAAGCAATTGTAGATAAATTCATTAGAAAAAATTTAACATCTTTGCTTGAGCTCAACTGCCAAGTAGTTCTATAAAAAAACGACGAAATTTAGTGCCAAAACGCAGTGATTATAAAAAGTTAGCATATTAAATTAGTTTATTGGGGTGAGTTCAAGTTCATTTTTAATTTTTTGTCCAAATTACATGAAGTTTTTAAAAGACAATATCGTTTCAAATTCATAATTTTATTTCCAAAAAAAATTTAAGCATATTATGTTCTTGTCATACCGTGCTATGCAATCAGTCAATATGTTATTATGTATTAGAAATTTGTCGCCACTCTTTACATTTCCACCGTGGTAAACCTGTTTTTCTAAAAAAAACATTTACAATTATTGTAGGTATATTAATAGCTATGCTTCTACATTGTTGCACTTAACCGTTTGTTCAAATTTTAAATTAAATTGTAAATTTATATAATTAATATATTTATTATAACTATATTCAAAATTTTGTTATAAGTTTTAACCATTTATTTTTTGTCTTACTACGCAATGTATTCTTTGAAATAAACTAGAATATGCATTTTGTTTTAATAATCAATGATTTAAAATATGTATGGATATATTTTTAATATATTTGTTAAGAATTATATCTTAAAAATCTCAAAAAGAAGCACTAAAAAAGCAAATTAAAATCAAAATGAAAAAAAAAACTACACTGATTATAATTTGATTCTGTCTCAAAGTTAATTTAAACTGACTATTTGATCCTGTTAAGTATATATTACTGTCAGATTCAATTTAATCTTTGTGTAATAGGAATTTTTTTTCGTCTTCGTCTATGCATTTGCTGTCTTTCCCAGAATTCGTAGTAACGTTCTTGTTTCAACCACTCTTGATATCTGTACCACCATTCCTCCCATTTAATATAATCCTAAAATTTAATAAAGTGTGTATTGTAAAATTGAATAAAGTGTAAATAACATTCTACCACATACTTTTATATTTTTTAAATACTTTTATATTTTTTACTTACTTTTAAATCTAGATCACGCAAGTAACCTCGACTTTTATAATATTCAAAACGAACTCTAACATCATCCCACGATAACATTCCAGACGGAGCGGTAGTAGCAAGTTCTTCAGGAAAATGGCCAACAGGAGCTGGAGAAAAACGACGTGGTGATTCAAAACCTTCTTCAATCATAACTTTTAAAGCTCCGCCCGCTGAATCTTTTGTTATTCTCATATTTTCCATATTACTTCTATCCATACTCCATTGTGCCATTTTTCCGAAGCGTTCTGATAATGTTAAACGTGTAGTTGCTGTAAAAGTAGGTAATGAACTTTCGCTATCAGACTCCGAATCGTCTGAATCAGATGAACTATGATGTTTTTTGCTACGTTTTTCACCTTCAATTTTAATCCTTGTACGAAGCTAAAATTCAGAGAGCGATAAGTACCCAATTTTATTATTTTAAATAAAACTCACTTTTTCTGTTTTATCTTTCTTCTTTTTTGGTGCTGGAGCCGGGCTTGCGGGCTCAGGTGGTCTATGTTTTAAACGGGGATCAACTGGAATAGGGGAATGCCGATTTCCTCTCGTTTTTAATTCGGTGTGCGGACGCTCTATAACCATTTCGCGACTTGTTTCGCGACTTGCACGTACAACCTATTGTTCAAATAAGTATGTTAATAGTAATTTGAATGCTTGATATTTTTTTGAAGGCCTACCTTTGTTTCCGCCCGATATTTTTCAGGACGAACTGGTGGAGAAACAGGACGCATGCGCGACGACGATGGCCCCAAATTGGATGGTGGTCGCTTGCTGTTAGGGATACCGTGAGCGATTCGAGCATTAGACGGTCCGGCGCGACTATGATGATTTGCACTAATTGCTTTAGGCGGCGGAGAACGTGGTCCTGGTCTTGAACGCGACGGTATTGAAGGCGAACTAAGTTAAATTTAATATAAAAATTATAAAATACAATTAAAAACACTAATACAATAATTTCTTACCGAGAACGGGGATGATGTTTCAAAGAACAAACAGAGCATGAATCATCTGAACAGCTACTTACAGAACTGTTCGAACGTGATCGACAAGTCTAAATGAAAAAATTTTCTATTAGTTTAAAATTTCTTCTTTTTTTTATGAATGAAACATACTCTTCCTTTGGGTGGTGGCGATGGTGGTCTTTTAGATCTAGGTAAAATCTGTCCTCCTGGTATACGTTTACTTGTAGGTGGTACGCCACTTGGACCACTTATAGGTGACCGGCGTCTTACTCCACCGGGTGGAGAAGATGGAGACCGACGTCTTGTATCCATTGGTGATCTTGGCGATATGTTTCGACGCATATTACCGGAATTGTTTGCCATTAACGGTTCTGGTGGTGACCTGGGCCTTGGAGGAACACGCGCGACTCCCCTCGGAGGCCCATAATCCGGAGATCTTGGTGCTCTTCGTACCGGTGATCTTTCTATGGGAGATCGGGGACGACGCGTGTCCTGCGGAATAGGTGACATTCGCCGAATATGATCTGGCGGTGATCTTCTACGCATTGATATAGGTGATGGTGATGGTGGTGTTTTACGCATACGCGACCGACTCCGACTTCTACTCCTGCTTCGGCTTCTACTACGCGATACAGTTCGTCTTACAGCGGATGGAACACCAACACCGCCCCCGTTACCACTACGAAACGCATTATTACCAGTATTATTGCCATTGCCGCGATTATAACGAAAGTTTCCTTCGCGCTCGCTATCCGAACTACTTTCACCTTCGATATACATTTTTTTATAACCTGTATGACGCCAGCGATTTGGATCTTTTTCTTCGACTTCCAATAATTTTTTGTCCCAATATTCATTGGTTGGACCACCTGATCGGGCTTTTTTCATTACGTTGTCGATTTCTTTACGTTTTCCAGCAGGCAAACTTGGATCTAATAAAAAAGAAACATACAAATTTTGGGTAGGTTTACGTAAATTAAGTTTTGCAACAAAATTGTTTTTTTTTATTGGTTTCTGTACCGGTTTTTATATTTTATTAGTTATAAATAAAATACAAGATACGATTTAGGATACCTGTAATTCTTGTAACAACAGGCTGTCTATCCATCCGAAGTTTACCAGGACGCGGTTGAGGGCTAATGTCACGCCTACGAGACATAGACATTATTTTCTTTTATTATTATATAATCTGCTTTTCAATTTTCAGTAAAATTAAGGTTCCTTCAATAAATTTTTCTCTTAGGATATAATTAAGTTTCGGACAAATCCCATGTAATATTTTTTACCGAATCGAATAAGTAATGAAATCTCTAAAAATTAAAATCCCACGAATAGTTCGACGTCGTTTGTTGCGACGCCAATACAAATTAAGATGAAAACAATCAATTATATGAAATGCTGCAATTGGATTATGGAAATACATTTTAAATAATTTTAAATTAAAGAAAAAATAAACAATATTTTTTTTTTTTTTTTGGAATAGATTAATATTTGGAATCACATCAAAATAAAACAAAGTGGACTATACACTTGTCCATATCGGAATATGTGGAACAAAGAACAAAAAGGGAAAATATAAAAAAAAAATTATTTTGTAAAAAATAGTGAACGCGATAATTTTGAATGAATAGCACAATTGAAATTGTTGTAGTACTATAAAAAATTTTCATATAAAATACATAATATATTTTTAATTACAAGTACAATTTGAAAATTTGAAATAACATAACAGGTTAAATTATGATAACTACACCTTATATACATATATAAAATATGCTAAAAAACTTTAATTGGAATTTACAAATAAAATTCATAAACCCAGTATGTATTTTTATTTACATAAATAAGAACGCGTATTCGCTATAATTTTATATCGAAAAATTAGCACCACTGAACGCGAGAAATTTAATAAAATGTTCAATGCTGAGTTGACCGTGTATTTATGCACCAGAATTGCGACCGAAATATAAAAAATACAATTTTCGATTTCTCTATATTAGACCCGAATTTCATAAAGTATAAAATTTGTCTATTTTTTCCAAATATTTTTTTTATAAAATTAGAAAGTTTTCCTAGACCGATCTTTCACTTTTTTTCACAGTTTGCACTTCTATTTTCTTTATACATACATATCTATACATATATATATATGTAATAATTAATAATTAATCAATTTTTATTAATCCACACTATATTTTACCGAAGTTTTTCACGAACTACGAGATACGTACTTTAAATCAAAAGTTCTCGATTATATGGAAATTTTGTAATGTTTTGTAATTTTGTTTCTTAATTTTATCCAATATTGCTTATTTGCCTAAGCGAACACTTCCCAAAATCTTAACGCCATTTTATTTTTCACTATTAAAGTACATATATAAATTGTTAAATACCTTCAAGATTTGAGATTTGACATATTCAGTACAGTACCCAAAAAACTTACACGTATAATTATTCAATTTCACAATTCAAATAAATTCGATTCTCGAACCATTTTGCAATACTAAAGTATGATCGTATTTTAAAGATTCAAGGATTGGTTTGGTTTATACACAACTCTACAACTTTCATAATGCATTTAATACGCTGAATTTACATTAAATTTAAAGAATTGTATCCTGATTGTCATGATTGTCGTGCAAAGACAATTTGCTTCCAATCTTCCTGACGACTATTAAATTATAGGCAGTCGATTTTCACGATGATTTTATTGTTCGAATTTGAACACTGCTACATGACTTTTTATTTCAATATATGTATGTACATAATAAAAAATTCTAACCCAATAAACTTTTATTCATGACACCAAAATGTCATTTAGCATCGTAAAACAACATGAAATGGTGTTGGTAATAGTGGATGTATGTAACCGTCGCCATTTTCCTTAAAATTTATCGATAAGTAGATGTTTAATCCTCTTCGCAAAATTGACTATTCTTTAAATTCTATAAAAATTCGTAATATTTTAGAGAAAAATATTAAGATTTAAGTAATATTTAATTAGTGAATATTATGTTATAAAATGGAAAACGTAGTGGCTTTTAATAATGAGGTAAGAAAATAAGATTTTTTGGTGTAAGTGAAATGCAACTTCCTTTAAAATGAATCAATGAATAATTAGAAAAAAAATAAGCAATATTTTTCAAACTATTATATAAATAAAAAAAATAGTGATTATTGGCTGAAAAATGTTATTAAAAGTGAAAATATTTAAGGAACTAATACTTTGGTGCACAGAAAAATTATAAGGGCGTTAGCGCTTGTATTTTGTTTAAAAATATGCATTTCGAACGAATTAAGAAAAAAAACTAATTACATTATTTTCTTTATCTTTTTTTTGGTTTTACTTTTACAATTTTAGCTTACTGGCCTATATAGTGCCAGTCCACCAATATCAAAGGCAAAAATGGCAGCGATTACTCGTGGAGCTATGAAGGCAATTAAGTTTTATAAGCATGTCGTTCAAAGTGTAGAAAAATTCATATTAAAGTGTAAGCCAGAATATAAAATACCTGGTTTATATGTGATCGATTCTATAGTTCGCCAATCACGGCACCAATACGGACCAGAAAAAGATGTCTTTGCACCTAGATTTGCACGAAATGTCAAACAAACTTTTGCAAATTTATTTCGATGTGCTCCAGAGGACAAGAGTAAAATAATACGCGTTTTAAATTTATGGCAGAAAAATAACGTTTTTGCTCCAGAAGTAATACAACCATTATTTGATTTAGCTGATCCAAATCATCCTATATACCATCAAATTCAGCAAAATACCAGTGGCCAGGATATAAGTGGAACAAATGGTTTGAATACATCCATACAAGAAACTAGCACACCAATTTTAAATACACAAGATGAGAGTCATGGAATTCCTGAGTTAAATGTTAGTATGTTATTAAATTTTATGAATTGAACTGTTTTTTTTTTGTTATGGTGTTTAAGATAGGTATAATATTTTTTAACACTTAACTATTATTAAAGTTAGTTTAAAAATAAATTTAGTTTATAAGTTTTGGATAGTAGAAAAAAATTATTGGATGTGTATTTTATAAATCAATAAGAAAAAGAACCGGAATCATTAAATACCGATTAGGTGCCTATACTAAACTAATAATTCATTCTCATGTAAAATTCTTTAAATTTGTAAAGGCATTAAAATATTTTTATGTAGGTTATAAACTAGAAATTAAAAGCTAGATCTTCAGTGTTATGCTTTATATTTTCTTTTATTTTATTCATTCCTGCACTTAAATTTTACTTGTATAAATGCTTAATAATTATTTGCTTAGAAAAATAATCACGAAATTTAAATGTTAGATATAACATTTTCAATTTATTGTTTTAATAGTGCTGACTTCATTCGATTAGAAATTCATTGCAGTATTCAGAAAATTTAAAATATTAGCACTTGAAGAAAAACGAAATTGTACCTATTTGTTTTATTTTTATTATTAAAAAGGACCCATTAGTAAACGAATTTTTTTTAAATTGTTAGATTCAGCACATGGTTAGAATTTTTTTTATATTTCTCATGAATTCTAAGCCAAAAAAACAAAACCAAAACATTTTTTTTTCTTTAACTTTTTCTGTTCAGATTGGACTACATCCAACAACTAATACAAAAATTTTCGATCAATCTGCATTAAGACAACTGGAACATAACAAACAAATTTTAAAGCATAAACAATGTACCACAACTAATACTAATATAAAAAACGAAAGTAGTTCTGGATTTACTTTGAATTCAAGTGCAACTAAAAATAATAACGAAAAAATATTAAATAAAAATATAGATGGTAATTTCACTGATAGTTTTGGTTATGATAATGGGATTGGGGGTGTTGATTATAATCTAAACAATAGCTATGCTGCTGCTATTAATTCTGCAATCATTAATAATCAGTCAGAGAATTCACAAAGTAAATTAACCAAAAAAGTGGTTGAATATGGTTATGGTGAAGTCGAAGACGACATAAAAAAACGTGGACATTATTTGCCAAACGTTTTAGATGTAATTTGATTTTGTTAAAGTCTTTGTATTTAAAAAAAAACTTTTTTTAATTTTTTTTTGTTGACTTTATTTTTTTTTTCTTAATTATTCCATGAGAAATGTGTTGAAATTATACTAGTTCTTTTGTATTCAAAAAATCTAACGATATTGGACTATTTTTATGCTTTATTCAACTTTTTTAAGTAATTTTTTGATAATTTTGAATATTTTCCGAATATATTTTTTAATTTTGAAGAAACTATCCAATAACTAAAACTAATTTACCTTTTAAGTCTCAATTTTACATTTTCACGTTAATCTTGAGGACACTAAAATAAAATAGAAAAATGAAACAGATAAATGAGATTTCCTCAACACATTTCTCTATTTTACCGAATCTATAATGTTAATTTGGCTTTAATTTATTAATTTTAAATTATTTTTTAATTTTTTTTTTATCAATCAATTTTTATGCGGTTAGAGCAATAATTTATCGCAATTATTGAAAGATCCCAATGTGCTTCGGCAACTTCAAACATTACAACAATTTAAAAAACAACAAGAAGAACAACAAAATAAATTAAACGAGATGAGATTACAAGAAGAAGCTTTTGAAAAACATTTACAAAATGTTTTAAAGGTAAATTAAAAAACTTTTATTTTATTTTGAATTAGTTTAACATAAATTCTGCAAATATACATTACTCGTATTGTAGACAATAATTCGAACAAATTTAAAAATGATTTTATTAGCTTCTTATATTATTATTTTTTTTTTTTTTCATATTCAAATAGGCTCAATCTTCAACTTTGATAGGATTAAGTGGATCAAATGCAACAGATCATAATGATGATGAAGTTAAGTTTTTGGGTACCGAAACTGCAACTAATAAAATTGAGGTACATTTTTTTTTTCTTTTTGTATATTTTTGAATATTTTTTCATGCCGTGTATTGAATAAAATACATACACAGATAGTTTCTTGTTTAAATAGTTTTGGGAATTCTTTAACGCTTAAAAATATCGAAAAATAAATTAAAATTTAAAAATGTTTTTTTTTACCATTTGTAGACAATAAAATTTTTCAAATTTCTACAATTATCGTAATTTGTTTAATTATAAAAAAAATTTAAAAGTTTTTCTATTACTATTTGAAAAACACAAACATGTAAAAACAAAATTATTTAAAGGAATTTTTTAAAAGATGTAACATTTTTAAATTTTTATTTAGCAATAAATTGACTTGACTTTGAATTTTATTATTTATGCTAGTTTTGTTAGTTTTTCAAAATTCAAAGTATTGATTTGAATAAGAAAATTACATTTGAAATTAACAAAAATATAATTAATTGCAAAGTTTAAAATTTCAAATTAAATTTAATGAAAAAATATATTTGATATGGGAGTTTTTGGGACGCTGTGCAATATAAATTTCGGTTAAAGATGAAATTTCTATTAACTTTTCATTCTCCATATATTCTCAAATTGTTCAATCTCATTTGATCTTACTTCGAAGAGAGAAAATTTTTCTTTACCGCTGTGAAATAATAAGTGATTATGTTAAGGCACAAGAAAAATTTCCTTCAGTTCGAAAGAGATAACTTAATAAAATAATAAATTTGAAAAATAATTTGATTTCTCGGTTTTATTGATAAATGATTTGTCCAATATTTTATGACATTTTAATAACCAAATTGTAGCTCTAGCATTTTTAAGCTTACGTGAGTGTTGAAAAAACATAAGCATTGATATTGTTTCATATTATTAAATAATACAAAGCACTATCAATGTTCATAAATGTATCTTGATAATTTGAAAATAATTACATAAAACACGAATATTTTACACTTTTTATTTAAGAACGTTACCCTGGTATTTATGGTTAACAATGACTATAGCCATTGCCAAATTAATCGATATTTTCATTACGAAAACCTTTTATTACATTATTTGTTTAGAAAGAGGATGCATTTTTTTTATGAAATCATAATTTTTAGAAATTATCGCCTTAAATTTGTTTTTTTCTTTGGGTTTGGAAAAAAACGAATTGTCCGCTCGGAACATTCAAATCTGATAAAACCTTCTCTAAATCCAAAAACAGTTTAAATAATTTTAATTAGAGTTCTAATCTAAAGATTCTAAACTAATGGAAATAGTAGTCATTTTAAGTTGAACACAAAATTTACATATTTTATAAGAATTCTTATTAAATATCAAATATTTTAAATATTTTTAAAGTGCATAATAAAATTAATTGAGTTTTAAATATAATGGGGGCTAGCAGTTAAAAGTTTTAATTTAAAATAATAGCATTCGTTAAATGAATAAATTTTATTTAAACAATTATTTTTGTAGTGTGATTTCAAAATTTAAAATGAAAAATAAATTTATGAATGAAAATATCAAATTTATTTATTTAATGTTCAAATATAGTTCAAATAAAATTTCGACAAAATTTAAATTTAATGAGTTTAAAACTGTAGGATTAAAAGAAGATTATTATTGGTGTGGATTTAAAATTATTGGAGAAACAGAAATATTTTATTTGGGAGTATTTGGGGTTATAAATTATATTACTTAAAAAAATTACGATTTTGACTACCTAGTATATATTTTATTTTTTTGAATTTCAAATTTTATTTGCTTTTATTTTTAAATATTATATTTAAAAATTCTAAAATAAAATTAATAATCGTCCAACAATCGGAATTTAAAGGTAAGATATCAATAGTAATTACAAAAAACATTTGTAATCCACTAATTAAATTCCGATCCGCAAAATCATTTGTAAATCAAATGACGGCAGGCTGGTAAGTTTAATTTTCATTTTTTCTGTTTAACACTATGTAAAACTGAATTTTTTTTTTTTCTTAAATAATTTATCGAACAAAATCCCTTAAAAGTAAAATAAAAATTAAATTCGTAAAAGTATCAATTAGAAAATTAGAATGATGAAGGTACAAAGCATTGATTATTTTAATTGTGCAAAATAAATTTTTTTTTTGATATGAACAAATGATGTTGATGAAAATTTTTTCAAAAAATTTTAATTCTACGTTAAAGTACTGCCAACGTTTAAACAAAAGCTACAAAGTATATAAAGTCTTCATTTTTTTTTTTTTAATTTTTGTTTTTTTCTTTTTATTTCAAATTAATATTACAAAAAAAAAAAAAAAAACAAAAACAATGAATATCAAAAACCAACAATATTTTCAAAACAACCTAAACTATCTAGGTAATCAATTTGGATGCCGGGGATTCAAGAAGTCCAACTCCAACTGATCATGATCGTTATAAACGTCGAAGAAGTCGAAGCCGTAGTCGTTCAAGAGGTCGTTTAACAAGTGGTCGTAGTGGTCGTAGATCGTCAAGATCAAGGTCACCTCACAGTCATTCAAGAAGTATATCACCGAAATCATCAAGACGTCGTTCGTCACGTGATCGTGTATCAACAAAAGATAAAGAACGCGACAGAGAATATGAACGTGAAAGACGCAAAAAAGGAATACCAGAACCGAAAACTGAACATTTAAGTGGTAATTGTTTTGCAAATTTCTTTATTAATCAAAAATTTACTAATGATTTTTTTTTATTTTTCTTTCATGTGATTTTTATTTTTGATTTTATTATACATCTAAGTTTATAAACTCGTATATAAATTAAATTGATAATATGTATATGATAAGGAGCATAATTTTTTAATCGTGACCTGTAACTTCAAAATTTGTTTGTAATATGTTATGAGTATGCAATTTACCTTATGAGTTGTAACATAAGCTAAATTGTGAAGCATTAATATCTTATTATAGCAATTTCGGAGTCCACGGTTTTTCATTAAAACTGAAAAAATAGAAATAATAAATCATAAATAATTTCTATTTGAATATCCATTGCTCTATTTATACACATATACAATTTAGTTTAAGTACGAAATTTATAAATTATCACAAATAAAATTATTTTCAAAATCTTCAAATTAAATTTTAAATGCGAATTTATTGTAATTTTTGCATTTAATAAAATTTCTCTTCTAAAATTGATGTTTTGTCTTTGGTGACATTAAAAATTTCTAGATCAATTGAAATTCTCTTAAAAGATTCAATTTTAAAAATTTTGTTTAAACTTTTAAGCAAAGTTAAAAAATACAAATTTTGAAAATAATTTTATATTTTTCATTATAATTTTTTAATGATTTTACCGTTTCAGTTTATGACAAAGCTTATTAGAAATTCTTTCACTTGGACCCTCTGAAGATAAAGAAATGAAAAAAAGTGTTAAATTTTTTTCTAAAGAATACGATTTTTTGTTTTTTGAATTTCGTATTCTTTTATTAAAAAATTAATATTTTTTGATTTAATTTTGTAATCATTAATAGCCAAAATTCTCTTTTAATTTAAAAAATAAAATTTTTATTTTAGAAGAGAAAATCAAATTATACGATATCTATTCTATATACTTGATGAATTTTTTGGTTATATTGATTGCAAAAATTATTTATGAGGAAAACAAGAAAACCCCGGCCGATAATTTGGAGTGGAACTTGACTTTATTCATTAATTTGTTTTTGTTTTTTTTTTTTTTTTTTAGATTCATTTTTTCTGTTGAAAACGTAGTAGTACTTTGATAGTAAAAATATCGAGCGAATAAATCGTTAAATGTGTAGTGAATATAAAATTTCATCTTCATCATTCTCAATATTTTTTAATTAATTAATTAAACGAAAATATACAAAAATTAAGGGATTTTGTACGAATAAATAATATATATTTTAAATAGTCTAGTCAAATTTTAATTTTGTTTAACGCACAAACAAACTAATACGAAAAAAGCTATAACGAATTTGTAAATGATTTTGGGCTAAAAGAATTTTATAATATTTAATTTTTTATTTTTATATTCAATATTGTGAATTAATATTTATTTCAGAATATATTTGAAATTATGAATAATTTTTTTCTCTCTTATTTTTACGTAAAATTCAATCAGAATTTCTAGAATCGATTAGAATTTCTATATGAGATAAATTAAATAGTAATATTATAATTATTTTTTAAAATAAGAAATTGAAATTAAAATTATGTTAGGAAAATAAAAATATAAATTTGAGAAAAAGATATCCAATACTTTGAGTGATTTATTTTAAATTTTTTAAGAAAAAATTTCAATAATAAAATTAAATTGCTATCTTTTAATTTTTAAATTTTTTTAATTTAATGAAATTATGAAACTAGTTAATTAAGAGTAACTTCAAATAAGTTAATAGTAATTTCAAATAATTTTAATAATTAAAAATTTTATAATATATTTAGACGGTAGTATAATTAAAATTTCACTTTCTTTAAATTAATTTAACCATTTCCAATAAAAATTTAACATGATTTTTTAAAGTATAGTAAAATTTCGGAATCAAATTGCACATATAATTGAATTGAGTAGTAATTTTGTTTTGAATATTGAAATGCTTTTTTAAAATACATTAAAAATTTGGACGAAACTGCTTTTTGCAAGAATTAAAATATGACGGCTAGGTACGCTTGTGAATATTATAAAAAAATGCTTAAGTTCGAATCCATAATCAATCAATTTTCGTTGCAGTGTAAAAAATAATTAATATTTTGTTTTTTCTTTCAAAATAATAACTTAAATGTTAAATATACTAAATAAAGTAATTCACCTATTATATTGAATAATTTTAAATGGAAAAGTATGGGGGGGGCAAAAAATATAGGAAAATAATAATCAAATGGAAAATTAAAGATATAAGTTTATCTTTAATTTATAAGTATATAAGAATATTTCTACACATTCTATTTAAATTAAAAAAAAAATTAAATTAAAATTAATTATGTACCTAAATTTCAAGTTATGAAGTTTTAAGTTTCAAATTAATGTAGTTCTGCCGCATCTGTATTTAAATAGTTTTTCTTTTAAAATGGTAGTCTGTGCGTTCCAAATAATTTCTTGAAGTTTTTAACAATCTGTGTTAGCATTTGTTAATTTGTTAACTTTTTAAATTTTTTAATTTAAAGAATTATTGCTGTTAAAGTAATTATAATATAAACCATCATTCGGATGTGTTTGTACAGTTTTCTATAAAGAAAAAGTTAAAGAAATAGTTATCGTATATTATAATTTATGTTTAAAATTAAAAGTCAAGTTCCATGTTTCCCAAATCTAAATACAACTTGAGAATTTCAATAATAAATATATTAATGTATTTATACAAAAATTTAGAATTTCAATTAATATCATCATTTCTATCCCATATATTTCAACATATTTATTATAGAAAAAAATCAAAGTAAATATCTTAACAAAAATGTGAACTAGAAAGTTCAAACTAGATTTATTAAACTAAATAAGTCTAAACCAGATTTCAATTCATAAAGATTATAATTGTAGTTTAACAAAAACGACATGAATTGATTTGCTTTGGTTTCTGTTTACAACGTTGAGGTGAATATTATGGGATAAAAATAAGATTAATTGAAATTATTGTCATCTTTGTCTGGTGTATGATAAATTTTAAGCAATAACGCAAATTTTTTAAATTGTCAAGACAATTTTATTTAATTTTTTTAAAACTATTATTTTATATCAATTTTTTTTTTTGTCTTTCAGTTTGTACAACAACTCTTTGGGTCGGACATTTATCTAAACTTGTACACCAAGAAGAATTATCTGATACTTTTGGTAAATTTGGTGACATAGTTAGTATTGATATGATTTATCCACGTGGATGTGCATTTATTGTAATGAATCGACGTCAAGATGCTCATAAAGCAATGACCAATCTCAAAAATCACAAACTTCAAGGTCGTGTTATTACAATATCATGGGCTGCTGGTAAAGGTGTCAAAAGTAAAGAATGGAAAGATTACTGGGATTTAGATTTGGGTGTTACTTTTATACCATGGAATAAATTAGGAAAAGATACTGATTTAGATGCCCTAGAAGAAGGTGGAATGTTTGATGAAGATACAATGCCAGGTTGGATGAAAGATAAAATTAATCAAGCGAAAAATAATAAAGACAAAGTATTAGCTGCAGTTGCAGTGCCAAATAACACTGCAATTTTTACCGGAGTGGCGGATAGTCTACCAAAAATTGATACTTCTCAGCCTCCACCCACATTATTACAAGGTGGTCCCCCACCATTATTACCCCCTCCACCTGCTGTACCAATGGTACCACCTTTCCAAATGGGGCCACCTCCAAGATTAATTGGTCCTATGGGTGTTCCGATGCCTGGAATACCTCCTGGTATGCCACCAAATATGATGCCTGGTATGCCGCCATTGATGTTACCAGGTGCTATGCTACCTCCACCAGGTTTTGGAACTCTTCCTCCAGCATTAGATAAAACAAGCGCTGGTAATCCGTTACAAGCTCCGCCACCTGGCTTTTTAGGCAATATGCATATGTTAGGATTACCCCCACAATTTCCGCAGCAGATAGAACAACCACCACCTGCAACAACACAGCAGCCTCCGTTGCAATCACAACAACAGCAACAATCACAAACAATTCAAACTAATGAACAAACTACGCCTGCCGATGATCAGATGGACATTGAAATGGAAGATGATCTCCCTAACAACACTCCTAGCAGTGTTACAAAGTCAAATGAAACAACGAATCCTATGCCTGACTTTAATAAGCCCCCGCCATTATTTTCAGATCTATCTGATTTACCAACTGCTCCACCAGGGGAAGATCCTGATGAAGTTAGTCTTGAAGAAAACCGCAATGATGAAGAATTTGAGAGGAGACATATGGAAAATATTTTTGATAAAAGAAGGAACGAATATACTGGTGGAATTCGTGGTGAACGCTCTCGTTGGGAACGCGGCGGTAATAATGGGGGTCGTATTGAAAGCCGTAGAGGTCGTGGGGATCAGGGTTCTGCTTCAGAATGGTCAGAAAATGGAGTGCCATTTGGAGAAGGTTTTCAACCTGATAATCTTGATAAAAAGCAACAAAATCCTTTCTTTGATCGGCGTAGTGGCAATGGTATTATAAAACGTTAACTTAGAAATCTTGTTTCAAACACACTTTTTTTTGTAGATTTTGATCGTAGGAATGATGTTGGTTTCTTCCCTAATAATAACATGCCTGCAAATAGATTTGGTGGAAGAGGTGCCATGCAAATGAGAGGCGGACCGCAATTTGGTCAACAAAGATTAGGAAATATGTTTAATCAACGACATAATTCAAGAGGACAAGCTCCGCCAGCTCAAGATGGTAAACTTTTTTTTTATATTCGTTAAAAGACAAAAAGATGTTTTTAGAAGGGACACTAATGTTTTTTTTTTTAATTTTTCAATTTTCAGGACTATTTTCAAATTATATAGAACGAACATTTGAACGCGAAGAGCGTGGTGGTAATCGTGGCGTTAACAATAGAGGCAATCGCCGAGGTGGCGGTTTTGACGGTCCTCATAGAGGTGGCGGTTTTGGTCAACAAAGAGGAAATTGGCGAGAAGAAGATAATGGTAATAATGGTAGCCGTAATAGGGATGTTGGCAGTCGCTTATTTGAAAGAAGAAATGACAGAGACCGTGATAGAGATAGAGATCGCGATCGAGAAAGAGATCGTGATCGCGATCGTGATCGTAATCGAGATCGTGATAGAGAACGTGACTGGGATAACCGAGATCGTCGTGGGGGTGGTGACACTCGTAGTTCTCGTAATTCTCGAGATCAAAGAAACCGTGACAGAAGCTCCGATAATGATCGAAGTGACAGTAATTTTAACAGTCGCAGGAATAGTGGAAATAAAGATAATGAAAATATGGAAAATAATCCAAATGAAAAAGTGGATAAAACCCTTCAAGACACTGAAGAAGATTGGGATAATGAATTACAAGATTTCGATGAAAATCAAAGAAAATCTATTATGAATGATAATGATAATCTAAGACCCCCAGGAGAAGAAGACATTACAAATGACAAAGATGATGAAAAGGATAATGAATTTGCTACACCAGCTACAAGACTAAGAAAGTCTTCATTCAATCAACAGTCCGGTAATGCTGCTACAAAAATTGATAACAATAATAGTAATGAAATATTTGATAATACACCATTATATGATGAACCGCTTGACGGAGGAGCAAATAATTGTACAGAAAATAGAAATAATAACAATAATAATATTGATAATTATGATAACAGTAATAATAATTATAACAACAATAACAATAATGATAATTATAATAAAAATAATAACGATAATAGTAATAATAATGATAATGATAATGTTGGTGATAATAGTCAATATGATAATAATGACCATCGTAGCATTTATAATGAAAATCAAATATCAGAAAATAATGGTACTCATTCTGAACAATGTCCAGTACAAAATCAATATAACGATGATGAATCACAAAATCAATATATAGAAAAAGAAGAGCAGCCATCACATGATAATGTAAAAGGAATAGATGAAGAACAACAAAGTCAGGAAAAAAATGAAAATATTGAATCAACAGGAGAAGCACCAGTAGAAAATAATGAAGAAAATTCTTAAAAACTAAACAAACATTCTATTAAGTGTTAAATATTATAAAAAAAAAAAAAATTTTACTCTTTTGAAAAAGAAATTTAAAAAAATAAATTTCTTCACCTATTATGTAATTTATTGTTTTTTTTTTTTATTTTATTATTTTTAATGGCAAAATCATTTTTAAACTTACTTATATAATATGTTTAATAAAAAGAAAAAGAATCCTTATTAAATTTAAAAGGGTTAATTGTATATTAATAATTCAGAATTTTGAAGAAAAAATTTATTAAAAATTTATATTGATCCACTGAATTTTAATGAAAAATTGCATGTTGAAAATTAAATGTTATTTATTAAACAATCATGACATACACAATATGTACATATGTACATAATGATTACCAAAAATCATCATATTGCTGTATTTATAAGTTATAACATTTATTTTTCTTATGTAAATGTAATTTTAATACAAAAAAAAAAAAAAATTAAAAAGAAAATATAAACTCATATCATAAGAATATTTAAAAAACAAAAAAAAAATTTCTTTTTTTAAGTTAATATGCTAAAAGTATGTTTATTTTTTCTTAATTGTAATAACACTACAAAAATTGTATATAAAAACATAGAACAAAAATAAAATTTCATATTCGCGACAACAAAAAATTTTATTTACTTTAAAAAAAACAAATGAAATTAAATAGAAGTAGATAAATTAAAATTTTCAATATACAATATGTATATATATATGTGTGCACACATGTATACATATGTATAGAATATAATTTAACAAAGCTAAAAACCTTAAAAAAAAACAAAAAAGAGGAACACTATTTAATGGACGTAATCCTGTAAAGTAGACTTTAGAAATAATTAATACAGATTTTCATAAAAAAGTTAAGAATAAAAAAAAAAGAAAATATTGGAAAAATGGTGTAAAAGATAGATTTTACAGTATATTTTTATTTAAGTAATTATTTTTTTTTTCTTTTTGTTTAAAAAAGCAATAAAAATTCTGTTAAAACTATCAATATTATTTTTTAGTTTTCATTTTAGATCTCAGAAAATTAAGGGAATCCTGTGTGAAATTAACGCAATTTAATATACTAGAACAAAGGAAATGATCCAGACCATTTAATTCGTTTAATTCTTAATTCTAATATTCGTAATGAATATTAAATTGATTTTTGAAGCTCTAATATTATATTACAGTGGATGAGGAAATCAGGAAATCCAACAACAAACATATCAACAGAATAAAAAATCATCAAAATGGTGAAATGCGTGGGGTACAAATTAACGAAATCCCTTGCTGTCTAAACAGAAGAAGACCCAAGGATACATATGTAGGGTGCTAAAAGTTTAAATAGAATTGGGAGTTACAGTCAGTGGACAGTTCTCCCTCTACAACGCTATAAGAAAATTGCTTTTTAAGTTAAATTTAACTTAGTTACAATAATAATGGAAAAGAAAACGAATACTTTACAGAAAATTTTGAGTATATATATTTACTGTAATGTAATAATATTTTTAATTTTGCATCACTATAGATCTTGCGTTTGTCAATGTAATTTTTTCAAACTTACAATATTTTAAAAATGCTATAGAGTTTTACTCATGCTACGATTTTTGAGCTACTGCTTCTTTTACTAAGGATGTATAGAATATGTCAATTATATGGAAAAGGTTGTAAAAACGAAATAAGACAATGGAAGAAATAAGACAATAATATGTTAAGAGTAGGTGAAAAGATTCAAAAAATGGATAAAGTGAGTACATGAAATTAATTGTTTTTATACCTAGCAACATGTAAACTGTAAAGCTTCACTTTCAGTAAAAGCATAATTATGTTCTTTTTAAAAATTATATAATTATTGACCTTAAATTTAATTTAAAATAGATTATTATAAATATAAAAAATTATTGAAAGTAAGCTTTAAACATATTTATCAAATATTTTTATTTGATTAAAAATTGATTTTTCATGTTCAATTGTTGTCGCAATGAAATGGCTCATAAACTGTATACAATATGTATACATGTAAATGTACACAGGTTCCTAGAATATCGGTCTCTATAGAATATGTAAGATTTATTTTTCTTTTTGGAAATCCAAGTAACATTGAGACGCTTAGAAAAACTATTAATCTGTAGTCATTAATTGAGCAATTATTTTATTTTTTCCTTTATTTACATAAAAGATAAATCGTTCTTTTAATAATTCTGTTGTTGAATTTCCAATAAAGTTTGATTCATTTTTCGTAATTGTTCCATAATTTCATTATGTCTGATTTCCTCTATTTTCATTTTCTTTTCTTTAAATTTCAAATATTCTTTCATTAAATCTTTATCACAAAATTTAAAAATTTTGTGAGCGAGATTTTCTATTTTGTTCAGTTCAACATCATCTTTGTCAATTTCTGTTTTGCAGGAGCTACTTTCTTCATCGTCTTCTAAAATTTGTGTCTCTACTTTAACAGGTTTCTGATGAAACGATGAGTAGTCATCATCTTCATCAACGAATTCGTTTTTTAACATAAATCCATCTCGACTATCATTTTCTAGATCTGAGTCATGTGTTAGTTTTGCACTACTTGTGTCTATGTACTCTAATCGATTTTTATTAATTTTTTGTTCTATAGAATTTAATTGATTCGCACGAGATATTATATTTCTTGCCTTTCGTCGTATATTTCTGTATCTCGATTCGACTTGTAGCGGAGTATATTTTACGTTAAATTCATGTTGCATTTCTTCACTAATGGCTTTAAACATTTCCTTTTTAGTTCTAAATTGACCATTGCATCCTACATTTGGTACGAACATATTATACAATTTTATTAATTTTTTTGATTGTTGATTTGTGAACTCTGCTTTTGAGGAGCTACCTTCCTGTTCATTTCTCTCATTGTCTAAAAAAAAATTTTTTTTTTAATTCTTTCATTATTTGTATAGATTCTTTCATTATTTGAAAAATTTTGTTACCTGCTTCAGAACATTTTTCATCGTCTTCACTATCAAACATGCTTTCCAAGTTGTAATTAGAAATATCGATTTCAGAGTTAGTGTTAAATTTCGAATTTCTAGATCTGTTGTCGAAGTCATTCAATTTTGATGGGTCATCCTTTCTTGAGACAAATTTTCTTACCCTGCTAGCTACTTGATCCCCCGTGTATTTCAACCCGAATTCTTCATTAATTTTTTTTGCCATGTATTTGTACATTTGGTGTTTTTTTGTAAATTGACCGCACCTACCGACTTTAGGATTAAATTTTTTGTATAATTCTAATAATCTTTTCGTACATTCAATATTCTCCCATATTCTTCTATTTTTTTTCCTTTCATTTTTCTTTTCCCTTTCTTCTTCTGTAACAAAACTCTTATCTTTCCTTACATTAAATTCATCTTCATTTGTATAATCGTCACTTTCCTCAAAATATTCAGCCTCCAAATCCATATCACTATCAAAATTATCATAGTTCATTTCGCCATTACAAGAATTTTGTATAGGTTGTCGAGTGTTTTGCTTTACAAAACCTCTTAACATAGTACCACTCTGGATTTCGATTAAGGGGAATTGAATATGAAAATAAAAATTTAATTGATAAATTTACTACAAATAAGCTATTTTAATTTAAAGATAAAAATCAACAGAAATTGACGGAAATTTGTATATTGTATAGCTGCGTTTATACAGCCAAAAAAGGTTAACGTCTGATTGTCATTTTTAAATATCTCAAGTCTAATACATTTTGACGTTAAGCTCCGTTTGTACTGATAACAAATAATATTACCTATGACTAATAACAATATGTCTACCAAGTTGATAAATTTTTAAATTAATGGTATTTATATTTCATAAAGCGTGCATTTTGAAAAATGAAAGAAAACACAATTTAATAAAAAAATTTTTTTCATAAATCCAAGAAAATTTGTAATTGGTATTTTAAATTAGGATTTAATAACTGAACCTGAAGCCAAAATTTTACTTTATCTCATATCATCCTCAACATTTCTTATACAGGTATTAAAATTTTTGATACAATTTTAGTTTGCATCTGACTGTAAATGATTTTGTTTTATGTCACATTACAATCACTGAAATAATTTTGATAAAAAAATATAGAACTGGCAGTACTCAATTCTACTGTCAAATTTAAATTTTAATTGACGGCGCCTAATTACAAAAAAAAAGTCGTTTATGTTTCGTAGAAATATTAATTTAAAATAAATTAACAAAGCAATTAAGCAATCAAATCGATTATGAGTCGAATTAAAGATTTCAAATTTTGTGATTATTAAAAATTCAATATGGATTGTCTAAGTGATAAGGATGTAACAGAAAAATTAAGAATTGAAAATTATGAACAGTATAAACAATTGGTTCGTATGCACTTATCATTTGAATTGGACCTAAATACAGATGAATTCGATCTACCATGTCATGAAATAATATATTATGAAAAAGGTAAACTGAGAAAGTGGAATAGATTGGCAAAAAAAATAAAAAGTTGCACTTCTTCCAAAAATGGTGCTGGAAGCCCTCTTGAAGGTGGGTCTATACAGCTAACATTCGGTTTAATTAATCAACTAAAACAATTGCGAGCATTCTTATTGAAAGAAGTTAACTTAAAACAAGAAGGTATATTTAGAAGAACTGGTGCTGTTTCAAGACAAAATGAACTACGAAATCTAATGAATCAGCATAAAGATTTTAATCTCGATGAAAACTTTAGTGTACATGACTGCGCTACAGTTTATAAAGGATTTTTAGCTGATTTGCATGAGCCTTTGTTAACAGATGCTCACTATCCTGCACATTGTCAAATTGCTGATTTGTGTAATGGTGTGGAGGGAAAAGAAAAGGGAGAGAAACTCAATAAAGTAAATCATTTTTTGAACTCGATGCAACTCTTAGTTCTTCTACTACCAAATGAAAATAGAATTTTATTGGAAGATATCATAAGTATGCTGTATGAGACTTCGAAATATGAACAATATAATAAAATGTCGCCAGATACATTGGCGTTATTATTTTCACCACATTTAATGTGTCCTCGAAATCTTCCTCCTGAAGCTCTACATTACGTTTCCCAAAGAATGTCTAGCGTTGTAAGTTACATGATACATAAGGGTAAAGTTATATTTGATATTCCTTCAAAACTCGCAACGGATATACGTGCTTATTTCCATGAAATGAAAAGGAAGAAAACTATGTCTCCCGAGCATATACTTGATGAATCAATTTCTGATATATCCACAGTAAATACAGGTACCGTTACAATACTGATATTTGACTTTTTTTTTGAAAATTTATCATAATAGTGTATACATTTGTTGATCGTGAGAAAACAGCAGCTGAACACAATTCAAATCCAACAGACACAGCGCTTGCTCAACTTTATGCCCATATTCAAAGTTTGCCAGAATCATCGAAGAAAAGGAAACTTATAAAACAGTTTAATAAAGAGAATGGGCAAGGTACAATTTACTCAACTTTTTATTATTTTTTAATATGTATTTTACTGTACCCCTAGGAACCCCACTACAGATGTTAATGGTTAACAGAATAAAAAATAATGAAATTCAGAGAAGTGGTGGTAAATCTTTCGGTGAGGCAATTAAAAAACACATATTTCACAAGGGATTAATTTCGCGGACCCCAAAACGTTTGAATTCTTCAACTAATAATTCCTCTGTGAGTATGAATCGCCAAAAAATCGGAAAATCGTATCTATCTTATATTATAAAAAAACTATATATAGATATACATATTATTTACTAATACACTAAATTTCTTTAATTTTTTCGCATGTTTAAATTGTATGCGAATATTGCATGTTACTCATTTTTCTAACATCATTATCCTCTTTTCAAACAAAAAATTTTAGACACCGAATGGTGCTGTTAAAACACCGAGAACTCGTATATTATTTCCAAATCCAATTTTATCACACTCAAATTTTCAAATCTCAAGACAACCGCAGCACTTAGATACTGTTAACAATTATTCAATCGAGTCACCTTCAATCAAAAGCATTTCGAAGAACAAGGTTTCAGCCACGCAACTACGTCATCCTTTGCAAAAGTCCGTATCAGCTTCCTCAATTCTCTCTTTAACATCAACATTAAGCTCAGCATCAACGAATTCCTTAGATATAAACAATTCTGAAAATAAGCCATCATCGTCTTCTGTATGTCGATTTTCTTTAAATGAGTGCACTGAAAAAGATGCAGCAATAGAAAATGATGTAACGGGTACATCAAAGCAGGTTAACAAAAACGTAAGTAATGATTTGTTAGCGAGTGAAAACACGGTTCAGTGGTTAAGTAAGAAAAATTTCAATGAGGAAACCGATTATAATTTTGATGAAAGGACGGACTTAACTGATTATGATTTGGACAAATTTTTAACTCCAGTAAAAAATCGGGGCAAACTCAGAAATTTGAAAAATTTTAATAGCAGTTTGAAATCTAAATTCAAATCAGAGCCTAATTTATTCAATTTAATTCCGAAAGACGAATTCGAAAAAGATGCAAGCGATTTTTCGTATGTTAATTTGAATACGGACCAAGGAAATGAAAATGATGGAAAATTTATTGATTGTATTCCAAAAACTATAAAAAATAGTTTAATAAGAGCTGTAAGTTTGGGTTCTCTAATTGGAAATTTATCGTCGTCATCGAATATTGCAACACGTTCTGAAAAATTAAAAGTTACTAAAAAATTTATTTTAAATAAAACAGGTTGTTTTAATAAAAGCTTAAATAAAAATGAATTAAATGAAGAATCTGTAGATTCTTACAAAGATTGTTTGTCAACTATACAATCTGAAAGTGAAATTGATCCAGGACCTGAGCATTCTACTAAGGCAGAAGAAGTAAATAGTGTTGAAGATGTTCATAAATATAAACATTGTTTCAGTACTGAACACGATGAAAAGGATGTAAATGAATTTGAAACAGGTGATGTGTTTATTCATGAGGATCGTTCTGTATTAAGCATTACAAGTGAAAATGTTGTTGGAAGTTATCCAAACTTAAATTTGTATAGAAACATTGACTTAATAACAAGTACCCCGTCGCAGTTTTTTAGAAGACGTTCGATGTCACCCATAACAAAATCCACACAGCGAATGCCCAAAGCTATGCAGGTAATTCTTAGAAGGAACAAGTATAAAAATGTACAAAGTATACATAGTGTGTTTTTTAATAAATTTTAACAAAATCTATTTCTCTAAAACGACACATTAACACTTCATTTCTTTTTCTGAAAACGTTTCTTAAAATTATAAAAATTTCTCATCTCGAAACTCAAAAAAGTTACTGATTCGTATAATTTAATTTAGTAAGAATTCTAATATTATTTTAGGAATCAATAATGACTCCAAGATCTCGCAAACCAGTAATGTTAATGGCAACTGTTGGCTCAGTGTCGCATGATATTCAAAATGTATTAAAAAGTGATATATCTAATTTTAACGAGCATAGAGATCCTGAATCGAATTCAGCTTATTTGAATGAATGTGAATCTTCAAACAATGATACAACACCAAAAATACATAAAATAAAAAACATTGTCGCACCACAAACAATCACCGTACCTCAACAAATTTTTTCTCAAATACATGTATTGGGTGAAAATAGCTACTTTATGGGTTGTACTGAAATGGAACCAAAATCTATTGCTGATGCTGCAAATATTAGAGATATAGATGAGCTACAAAAACAAAATTTAAAATTAAATAATTTAAATACAAATGCTACCTTATCAAGCACTTTCAGGTATAATCTATTTAAATATAACTAAAAATTGTTTAATACTAATAATTTATTTTAGGGAATATTTATTAAGTCGAAGTGTATTAACTGCAAGCCCTGTTGATGCATCGTTTTCGAGTCAACCTGATGATTTTGGATCAACACCAGATATCCAAGATCTAAGTGAATCCCAAATGAGCTCCAGCTTATTATTCTGTTTAGATGGAAATAAACCGGTCAATCAAAATAGTTTTAACACCTGTGAATATAATGAAAGCCGTGAAAGAATTGATTACCAAGAGTTAGGAATAAACATTTCCAACTGTGATAATAATAAACAAAGTAATGATAAAAATGAATCTGACAACAGTTATAGTACACAGCTTGCAAAAGAAATTTTTTTAAAAAGTCAACAAAGAAAAAGAAATTGCAATAATTTAATAAATAGTAGTAACGACGATATATCAGTATATCCAGAAGATATATATAATACAAGAAAATTATTAATAATTGAAGAGAATCCGAATGAAACTTCTCTTTAATTTTTATGAATAGATAGAGTATTTTTTATTTTTTTTTTTAATTTTTTTAAAGATACAAAATTGTGTGGAAATAATTATACAAAAAAACTATCAGTTGGTTTTTCCTCAACATTTTAATTTATTAAGATAATACATATATATAGTTGCAATTCAGGACATTAGCATTACAGTTTTGAGTAAGTTTTTAGTTTTAGACCAGCAATGTATACATATTTATATACAAATTCTTATGGCATATAAGACTACCAACATTTTTAACAAAAATATAATTTATAGTTATACAAAAACTATTTGGTTGAACCAAAAATTTTGTAAGGGACAAAATCAAAACTTTAGATGCCAAAAAATACAAATGGATAATTCTTGTAAAATAATATTTTCTATATTTTACAAGGAAATAAATGTTTTTTTTTGGAATTTGCATTAGAATAAAAAACGAAAATTAATAATTTTTTACAAAATTTATATAATTGGCTCCAAAATCTTGTTTTGAATAATTTAATAATACGAAATTTTTAATTATTTGAAATTCTGAAATTAATTTTTCTTTATTACATTAAATATTTTTTTAGCTCTTATTAATTTTTATTAATTTTTTTATTTCTATCTCGAATGTAGTTTTATAAATTTTTTGAAAATCCTATTATAATTAATATGAAATATAATTAACTATACATATTATATATAATTAAAATAAAAAAAAAATGTTTTCTTTTACATCTTTAAAAACAATCTTCATTAATGATATCTGAATTAACAGCTAATCCACGCTCCTTGAGTGCTTTTGCTATTAATCGATGTTTTTCTTGTCTTTGTTCTTGTTCACGACGTTGAGCATCTAATATACTTTCAACCGAAGTTTGTTTTAAAGGTAGTTTTGTTTCTTTTTCTTTATCCTGTAATTTAATTTTAAAAAAAAATACTTATAAATATGTAATGTTAATAAATATTTACTATCTCTCCTAATAAAACAACGTTTTCCCCTCGTATTATAAAAACACCTCTTGGAATATCACCATATTCGTCACCAACATGTATTCTTTCAATAGTTCTATGTAGAACTAAGTTGGCAAATTGATCAACAGATCTTAAATATCCAATAAGTGTTCGCCCATCTCGCAAAAGAACCATTAATTTTTCTGAAATATAAATTTTTTTTTTGTGTTTATAGCAGATATGAAATTTTTAAATGATGCCCAATTCATTTGATTAGATATAAAAATAATAAAAATTTTTCTTTATACTTACTATCTACTTCTTCTAATAAATTGGCTGTTCCAGCTAAAGGATTTAAATCATCCATTTTAGTTTTAGCAAAATTCAACAAATTCACAACTCAATCAAAACAAATTTTTTAAATTAAATTTTATGTAAATAAATGCCAAAAAAAAAAAAACAATTCGGTAGTGTTTTTGTTTGTTTTATTACTTGTGTTCACACGATGACTTTTGCATCAATGGTTTACACAAGATTCATTCACCTTGTATATATAGGTGTTGTATAAATTCTTTTAATTCTTATTTCGACATATTTTGATATCGCTAATTTTAATTTTTCGGAATCACTGTTTGTTAAAAATGACGTTACTAAATTATCATAGTCAAATAATTACGTATGTAAATTTAGGGCATGATTGTCTATCTCGCTATTTTACTCGACAAGTAAGAAGAAATTGAGTAACTATCATATATTTGTATAATGTAATTTTCGAGTGAGAAAAATTATTCAATATTGCATATCTCGTTTTTTTTTTAAAATCTGTACAAAATTTATTCACTTTTTGAAAGTGAGAAAGTCACGTTGTTTTTGAAACAAGAAGTATAATCTAATTGGAAAAATGAAATACTCATTAGAAAAACGAGAAATTCTGATTTGAAAGTGAATAAAAAAACCCAGATACATGACCAGTCTGTTAATGTCAATTTAAAGCAAATCAAACAAAATCAAATATCGCTCAAGAACTTGAACTTATTGCTTTATCGTACTTAAATCAAATTAAAAATGATTACATGGAAATTAAATAAATACGATGGAACTTTGAATTCTATTTTACGTTCTATGTGTTATCATATTGTTTGAGTTCTATTAATACACTTAAACAATTTATTAATAGCCAAAATTGAGCGCAAATCATAGATGATCTATGCAGTTCTGTAATTTTTTTTCGCTAGGCCAAAATAGTATTTTTATTTTACAACAGATGGATTGCTTATTTTCAGAGTTATTTTGCCATTTAACTATAATACATGAAACGTTTTATTTTTATTAAATTGACACTTGAACAAGTTAATGAAGATGACAAAAAAAAAGTTGATGATATTTCAAAAAAATAAAGGTTATGTTTCGTTCATATTACCATTTAAATGTACAACATAAAAAAATTGTTTCACTTACAAACTGCGCCTATAAGCTCATATAAATGTAAATGGAACGCAAATATTAAAATCTGCAACATTAATGCAGTGAATGTTCTACAATTTGAATATCTTGGGCTCCTTTTCTTATGTTGTATATATGACAAACATGTGAGTTGCTTTTAAAAATTCGTGTTTGTCAAAAAAAAATTGTTTTTTTTTTTTTTTTTTGTAAATTTGACATTGACAATCTAACAAAAATATTTTGTCAAAAGTAAGAGAAAAAAAAAATAAATCATCATCGGTTCATAGAATTTATAGGTATTACGTCAGTTTACGTACTATAAAGACTATTTTTTTTTTGCTTCAGAAAAATGTGTGCTTAAAAAAAATATAAATATTAAGTTAATTTTGAATTTAAAATCGAATTGTTTTCATAAGTTAATTCTAAATTTTATAAATTTTTTTTTTTATTTTTGTTTTTCCAAAATAACTAATTAAAACAAAGAAAATTTTTGTTCTTGTATTCCAAAATTTAAAAAAGAAATTTTTTAGACAAAAGAAGTTACGAAAAAAAAAAAATCGAAATTATATTTTGGTTTCAAATAAATTTTAAATTAAATTAAAAATAAAGAAGACTAAAATCAAAATGAATAATTTAATTCGAAAGAATCCAAAAATTTTCCAATCGAAATATGATTGTTTTGGAAGCTCTAAAAATTGTAAGTTTTTCTAATTTTCTTGTTTGTCATTAATTTATTTAAAACTTTGTTATACAATAAAAGTGTGCTGAACAAATGGTTTTCTTTTTTGTTAAAAAAATACAATAATTTTTTAATTTTTGAAAATAGTTTTCATATCTAATTATTTATATTATTAATTTTGTCCCCATTCTGTTTAAATTTAGTAAATTTTGCTTTCGATATTTGATTTTGAAAATTTGAACTTATTGGAATAAAATTAAGAAAATAAAAAGGGAAAATTTTTGGTCGCAATAATCGTTATTGAACTCGAAAAGCTTCTATTTTTTTTTTTAATTTTATTTTCATTTCATTTTTTTTTTCTTGTTTAATTTTAACCTTTTGTATGAAATAGTCTACGAATCAGCTGTTTTTTATATGACCGCATTTTTAAAAAAGAAAATGTTTTGATTTCGTTTTATTTTGTAGGGAAAATAATTAGATTTTGAATTTTAGTTAATGATTCTTAATAGAATTTGGTAGGTGTAGGTGGATCGGTAGGTAGCTAGATATCTATGTTTACTTAATTTTGTAGGCACATTATGTGAGTAAGTACAACAAATTACCTGTACATATTAAATACCAACATACTTTATTGTTTATTCTAATAAGAATAATTGGGACTTTTGGAATAATTCAACATTTTGGAATTTTTTATTTCTTAAATTCAATGTTATGTTATCTTCTGTGTATAGCAATGTTATCAATGCAATAGTAATATTATCTTCTGTGTATAGGTATTCGTCCAGAAACCTTATTTTGAAAGTTTATTTATAATACACACATGTTCATTAATATTCAACCATATAGTCATATATGTAGGGCACCTTAATGTCTGATAAATGATGACTATATGCACAGAGAACATAAATATAAGTAGGTAATCAATATTAAAGAAATTTTGTCTGAAAATTTTTTCCAAAATTATGTAATACTTAATCTACGTATATTTATATACATATGTCAATTTTTATTACAACTTTTAATTGAACATGTGTTATCAGCAATTCATGGATAATCCCATTTAATTACATATTTTTGTTTAATAATCTTTAAGTTCTCTTAATAATTTCTTTGTTTATTTTCTTCCATAATAAATTTTTTTTTTTTTATGTGGGAACAATCTAATTATAACACATTCATGCCTATACAAACTTATAACAAGGAGCACAAGCTCAATGCGTGGCATTAATATTAAAATTTAAAATAAATATTAAAATACGAAATTTTTTAAAAAAGAAAATTGAAATTCGTAAAAATTTTTTTATTGTTTTTCTACATTAAAAACAAAAAGCTTTAATCAATAAGTATGTATAATTATTATGTACATACACGTATAAATAAATTGTACAGGTAATGTTTGGAATTACACAGTATCTACTTAAAATATCTATGTATGTATGCATGCATTTATAGGTACATAGTTATATATGTATATATTATGTATATAATGTACATATAAATTCTTATATATTCAACTGGTTAAGTAAATATACTAAAAAAAAAAAAATCTTTATCAGTGTTTGTTTATAAGTTTAATTTTTAATCTTATTTTTAATTTTTACAGGATGTTTTTCGTTGATTATAATAACAACAATAAAAAATTGTTAGAAAATTTGTGACAAAATATTGACATAAAGAAATATTAACAGTTACCGGCTCATATACAGTCGAAGACGTTTATTTGTAACACGCATATAAGTAAAATTCCTTTATTGCATTTTTCGCTTCGAATTTAATTTTTCTAATCAAATAGGAAAAAGTGTCGGCAAGCCGTACGACGCACACCGCACACCACACGCCGCACACCGCAGCCCACACACCCCATACGCGTGTCGCTTTTATGTATATACAAATAAATCTACCCGATAGGGTGTATACGCTTTTTCGACTGTATTCGTTCTCGTAAATTAAAATGTTCTTAAACTACGAGTACATTTAGAAAATATTTCAGAAAAGTGATTTAAAAGTTTTTTACAAACTATTTCTTGAACATTTGAATTGGTTATGTAAAATTAAATGAGTAAAAGTTTGTTTAATTTCATTATTAATGCAGATGCAGATCATGAGATCGTATTACTAAAATTCAGTTTTCTTGATCAGAAATGGAAAATTATTGTATCTCACTAAAATTGTTCAAACATCTCATTAAAACTTACTTGTTTCTTTAGGATTCATGTATTAGATATTAGGTTTTTCTGACAAAGACTTTAGTCATGTCTTTTAAAATCTTATAAAAATAATACAATGAGACAATCAAAATTGTTAGAACTAAAAATAATTCTTATGCGTCAATGTATGTGCGAAATTCTAAATTTCTTTTTTCGAAAGAGAGTGAAAATCAAAACAAACACCTTGTGCAAATTATATGTGTACTTATATACATACGTACACGAATATATATCACATCTTAACCTTGTCCTTGAAATTTTCTCCTTTTTTATTTTGTTCTTTTCTTACTTAATGCATACTTATTTTGATTTTTTAATTTTGTATTTTAAAGAGAAAATGAGCGCAAATTTCATTTTTCGTAGGCCCGTAATAAACCGGTGTATTATGTAAATAGAATATATTAGAATTTTTACAAATAGAGAAAAAAATATGTTTAATTTCATTTTCATTTTCTTTTCACTTTTTATTTTCCAAATTAAATAGTTTTAGTCTAAAAATAAATTTAGTGTTTTGTGTGCCTATGCTTATGTTCATTTAGTACTTACATTTTTAAATAGAAAACAATTTAATTTTGCAGACTATGAGCTACATATTTACATATATACACTCTAGCTAGAGACTATAATGTCCTTTGAAATTGCTCTGAAATTTGTTTATTTTAATGAATAAAATGATTCAAGTTCATTTGGTGGGGAAGCAATTATTTCAGATATTGTTCTGTCCACCCGCCCGTGTGCCCGTTTAAAAAAGTTTTAGAACTTTTGAGATACAAAGCTGAAATTTTAAGCAAAAATGGATTTTTAATACAAACTTATTTCTTTTGTTTCTCAAAAAAGTTTTCGCTCCTCAAAGTCTTAAATATGTCATTTTTTGACTGCTTACTGTAACGAAACTGCAAATATCTTTTAAAATGCACGAACTGAGCTTTCTGCTTTTTACTGCCTTCATAGCAAAATGTTTATTTTACTGCGGCATAACATGTTGAATATTGAAATGACAAGATGGCCGTTAAAATTAACCGTTATCTAACCTAAAACACGTTTTTTTGTTGAATTTGTGATTATGGTTTTTTTTCGGCAAAGTGTAGAAGTCTGAAATTTTAACAGCTTTCAGACACTAAGAAATAATATATTCCTTTGGATGAACATTTTGTTCCTCCTTCGCCTTCCAAAACTCGCAAAACAGTAAATTTTTCGAAATTGCTATACAAACAAAAAGGTAACGGTAAATGCCATGTCATCAGCAACTATAATGATCTTAACCGTTATACTCTGCTATTATGTTTTTTCAATTTGTGTTGTTTTTTGCTTCATCCTAAATGTATGCAATAAATTGATATATTTTGGAATATGAGTAAAAGAAATTGAAAAATGTAGTAGACCATTATTAAATTGCAAAATTGCTTATTTAGAAACTATTGGTTTGATCCAACATTATGTTTTAAAATACTTTCGTTATAAAACAATTGGAAATTATTTGCTAGAGTCTTAACTTTCGAGAATATAGAATAAAACAATATAGAAATCAAGTTCTATGATTACAGAATTAAAAATATTCAAATTATCGGCATATTATCAAATAATATTGAATTCATAAATTAAAGAAATTCTATTTTACTCTCATTGTGATCAAAAATAAATAAAAATAAAGCTTTGTCCTATTTTTTTTTTGTCAAACATTTATAAATTCTTCTATATCTATAGGAACATTATATAGGTTTATAAGTATTATGAGCTTATTTAATAATTTTACTTAAAACCAAAAGTTTTATTTTAGATCGCTTGATTTGTTTCAACGCCAAAATGTCTCATAATAAATAATATATATATTAAAGTATTTATGGGTATAGGTCAGTAAATAGAAAATAAAACAAGAAAAATATATGGTTATTTTTATTAAACTTTGATATTAATATAAAAAAATATTTGTTATTTAATGAAAATTTTAATAATAAAAATATTTGTGGGTCAATAAATTTTAATTTATAAATCTGGGGGTTCTTACAATTACTTTCTATGCGAGTAAGAGATCATACAATTTTCTGTCACGCAAGTAAGAGTTCATACAACTTTCTACCACGCGAGTAAGAGTTCATACAATTTTCTACCACGCGAGTAAGAGCTCATACAATTTCCTGTCACGCGAATAATAGCTCATACAATTTTCTGAAAATTTACCGTACTATGTCATACCTTATTTTATTATCAAATTATTTAATTTATGCATAATACCAGTGTGAATATTATTAGTTAGGCCATTCTTTGTTCAATTTTAGTTCTTCAATTTAGATTGTAATCTTATCGAATTTTAATTCTAAACCTTTTATTTTATGTAGGTATTATTTTGATAGCTGGTTGTAAAAGTTTAATTATTTATTTATTTGATTAGGAGTTTTTGTTTTCAAGGTTAAGGTAAACAAAAAAAGTGAAATAATGTTGCTAATTTTTTCAGTAAAAATAAAATATTTGCATAAACTTTTGTTATAACTTGAATGTTAATTGCAAAAATTTTATATGTATATATGTATTTACAGATTTAAATATATATATGCATATATATAAAATTAAAAATGTGCTAACAATGTAATTTTGTAATAAAAATTTTTTCTTTTTCTTTTAGACGCGCAAATATCTCATCACAAACATCAAAAATTATATCGCGCAGATGAATTAATAACATCAGTACAACAGCAGCAATATTCAATAAATCATTTAATTTTAAAACCACAACATGTAGCTTCAGCAATAAATTTGCTCAATTATAATTATATTAATGTGCGTCCAACACATCGATCACCTAATCATGATGCATTTTCATTTCAAAAACGTAATTTACATTTAAGCACAAGGCTTTTTGAGCATCCATCATCTAAAGTTGAAGCAACAATACAAGCAATACAAAATAAACAGAAGGAAGAAGGTTCGAAAAAAGATGGTGCACCAATTACATCATCAGAAATACCATCAACAGCCCCTCTGTCTGTTGATCCAATAAAAAATTTGACTGCAACTGCTGCTCTTGCTAATAATGATACAAAAAAGGTAGCTATTGTTAAAAAGTCATTAAAACAAAAAATTTGGGAGGAATTGGTGCATTATTATCATGGTTTCCGTTTACTGTTTATTGATATAAATGTTTGTCGGAAATTATTATGGAGTGTACTTCAGGGAAATACTTTAACACGTCGTGAAAATCGTCTTTTGATACGAACAACATCAGATTTATTCCGTTTAGTTCCATTTTCGGTATTTATTATTATACCATTTATGGAGTTATTATTACCAGTGTTTATTAAATTTTTCCCTGGAATGTTACCATCAACATTTCAAACAACTAAAGACCGTGAGGAAAAATTAAAACAAAGTTTGGCAGTCAAATTAGAGGTTGCCAGATTTTTACAAAAAACTCTTGATGAAATGGCTGTTGAAAGTAAGGATCATAAAAGTGAAGATGCAAAACAATTTTCAGTTTTCTTTCGAAAAATTAAGGATCCAAATGAATATGTTAGTAATGAAGAAATCATAAAATTTTCGAAACGCTTTGAAGACGAGCTGACACTAGATGCTTTATCGAGGGAACAGTTAATTGCGCTTTGTAGGGTTTTAGGTGTAAATACAATTGGTACAACAAATTTATTACGTTTTCAATTACGTATGAAGATGCGGAATTTAGCAGCCGATGATAAAATCATTGCTAAAGAAGGTAATTCATTATGATAGAAAAAAATTAAAATTTTTACTAACATTTTTTTTTTTAAATTTTTTAGGTGTTGACGCTCTTAATTTATATGAACTTCAATTAGCTAATAAGAATCGCGGAATGCGTGCATATGGTTTATCTGAGCAATCATTGCGTAGTCAGTTACAAGAATGGATTGAATTGAGTTTAAACGAAAAAGTTCCTCCTTCGATTTTGCTGTTATCACGCGCGTTAATGATATCAGAGGATACGCCAACGACAGATAAAATTAAGGACACAATTCGTTCGTTACCTGATACTCTGGCTGCTCAAACTAAAGCAGCGATTGGCGAACTAGAAGGTAAGGTTGATAATAAGACTAAGATAGAAATAATAAGAGAGGAGGTCCGTAAGATCAAGGAAGAAAAAGAAGAAGAAAGGCAAGAAGAAAAACAAAAGAAAAAGGTTGAAGCACAAGAAAAAATTATGGCAGAAATAGAAAAGGGTGAAATTTTAATTGATACAGCACCAACGCTAGTCGATAAAGCCATAGTCGATGAAGTTATTCCACAAGTTTTAGAATCGGCTCAAGCACAGATTCCATTAGCACAAACAAAAAAAGAAGAAGAAGATGGAACTATATCATCTAAGGATGTACAGCTTTTAGACGAAGCTTTAGCAAAAGTATCGAAAGATAAAAAACAAATGTTAAAAGAAAAAGAAGTTATTAAAGAACTAAAGGAAGAAATTGAAGATTACAAGGAAGACGTAGAAGAATTAAAAAAGGTATGTGTTTTTTTTAAATAGGAACAGTTTAGTTTTTATTTTGCCTTTACACACATTTCAGATGTCTCAAGTTATGGATAAGAAAGTTGAAGAAGTTAAAGAAAGCAAGGCAGCAAAATTACTTTATAATAAAGTTAATAGTATGGTTAGCCGACTAGATAAAGTTCTTCATGATCTAGAGAAAACCGTGGAAAAAGAAGTGTCCGAAACCAAAATTACTTCAGAACCTGAACAAAAACTAGTCGAGTCTATTGATCAACCTGAGGTTAAGGTCGAAAAGAAGAAAGAAGAAGATTTAGTCAAAATTACGGAACTTGTTGAGGCTATAAAGGGCGTAAGGACTAAAATGTGTGTGAATTAAAAAAAATTACTTTAAAAATTTTATATAATTTTTAGTTACAAAAAGTGGAAGATGAAAGTAGACTAAAAGCAATTGAAAATGTTTTGTCAAAAATCGATCTCGATCAGGACGGTCAAATGAAAGTGAACGATGTTATGAAGGTAAAATAATTTAAAAAAAAAAAAAAAACAAAAAACAAATCCAGAAATTTTAATAATTTCTAAATTTTTTTTTGTTAGATTATTGAAGCGATTGGCACAGATAACGTAAAATTGAATGAAAAACAAATTGAAGAATTAATTCAATTAATAGAAAAAGAGGAATGTTTAGAAGCTGAAGATAAAATAGAAAAAGCTTTAGCGAAAGAGAAAGCTGAAAAAGAAGCAGTTAAGGCGGCAAAAGAAGTTTTAAAAAATAATCAAACAAACTCTGAGGAATTGAAAGATACAGCACCAAATTTGGTTGACAAAGCTACAGACATAACAGAAAAATCTAAAAAGGTATTTGCAAATAATAAGAAGTTTACAATTTTAAGGATGTTTAGTTATAAATATTATATATATATTTTAAATTTGAGATTATTTTTTGTGATAAAACATTTTTATTTTAAGGTAGAACCATCGTTGAAATCAAATATATTATCAGAGGCTACTAATGAAAAACAAAAAGAAAATGATAACATTTTTATACCTCCAGCAATACCACCATCAAAAACGACAGGAAATACAAAAGATAAAACACTTTGATACGAAAATAGTACCAAAGTTAATAAGAAATAAATTACAAAGTACTAATTAAATTGAAATTTAGACTATAGTAAATGAAAAGAATGGTGATAATTTATAAGAAAACAAACATTTGCGTAATTAATTTCTAAATTAGTTATGTTTTTATTTTTGGTTCAAAGAACTGTACTAAGTATATTAAAACTACTTATTTATGTTTATAATAAATAATAATAATAAAAAACAAAACAAATACAAGATTGTAATGTTTATAAATATAATTAACATGAATTTATTTAAAAATAAAAGAAATTTAGAATAATTTTTTTTTAAGAAAAATAAAAAAAATGAGATAGTTTTTGTTTTCTTATTTTTAATTTCTAGTATAAAAAAGCTTAACTAGTGGAGTCTTATATTTTATGATATCGATAATTTCAAAATGTGCAGTTTCCGTTTATATATGTTTTTTATTGTTTTATTGAAATAGGAATTTTAAAAGAATACACAACAGTTTTAAAATTTCTTTAAGAAAAACTAAAATTGTTAATTGATTTTAAGAAAAATCTATTCCGAAGCTCTATTTAAATATTTAGATAATTTGTTTGTTTTTATTTTTGTGAAATGTGGTGAAAAAAAAAAAAAATTCTTTTCCGATTTCATTTGTTTAATTAAAAAATTTAATTTTCTTTTATTATTTTTGTTAAATATAAATATTTTAAATAGAACATTGTTGAATGAAACCTTATACATTCTTAAAACTCGTATTGTAACACAAAATTTAAAAAAAAAATATGATAGTACTTAATGTTCCGAATTAAACGAGTGTAACTATTTAAATATGAAATTGTGAATTTATGAATACTATAATAATATTTACAAAAATATTTTGTCACACAACTAAAAAAAAAAAAATTATGTATTTTATTAAAAAAACAAAATTGATTATTAAATATTTAATGCCATTTTTTAATTTATAAACATTTTCAAAAAAAAAAAAAAATAGTTTTCAGATCTTAAACAAGAAAGGGTTATATAAAATCGATGTAGAACGATGCTAAAGATTAAAATTTCTTTTTAAAAATCTTGTTAATTTCTAAGTTACTTCAAAGATGATCTTGAGAATATGTCCTTTTAAATTCTTTCTTTTAATTAAAAAATATCAAAATAAAGAAATTTTTATTTTTGTAAAGATTTTTTTTTTTCAATTATATTAAAACTTAAAATTATTTAATTTATATAATTTTCAAAAATTAAATTTTATTACTATGATGACTCATGTGTACATTCTAACCATTCTTCGGAAAAATTCAAATTATTCGGACATTTCATTCGAATGTCTATCAATTCGCCAGTCTTTTTATCAATTATACATATATGATAACTTTTTCCATCATCAGGATCTGGTACTATTCCCATAAAATCACATTTAAATGGTTTAGCTTTAAAAGAAAAGAAGAATGGGAAATTTTTATTTAATTAGAATATTTAATTTTAATAAAAATTATTTTCAAATTACTTTTAAAACATAACCAATATAAAATGCATAGTTTACTTACCAGCTGTTACTAATGTAAAAGCTAATACTATTGCTGTTAGGAATAAAATCTTCAAATATTTCATTGCGTTTTTTATAAAACAAAACACTCGTCTTATTAATTCGTCTTATTAATGCAATAAAAAAAATAAAAAATAAAAATAGAATTACATTTTTTAAATACCTAAATAAAAATGGGTTAAATTTATTAATTGTGTTTTGTATTTGGTGCTTCATTCCATTTTTTTTTTTTTAAATTATGTTATTAATCTAATTTTAATGGGAATTTTGAAAATAAATAATAACATTGTACCCAATTTCAATTATTTAATAATAATTTAATAATATGTACCTTAAACTTTTAGTGTAAAAAACTCAATAGTGTACTAACATGTGTTTATTTTTTCTACTTCATCACTTTAAAGTAGAAAATACATTAATTTAGATTAGATAATTTTAATGTTGATAAGTATTTTATCAATACACACAGAAAAAAAAACGCTTATATGTATTTATTATTACATGAATGTTTATATGCTCTATATCAAAAATTATGCAAATCACGATAATTGAGTTTAAAAACTTTGGTAAAAAAAATTTTTTCTACTAATTTTAATAATTGAACTAGTATACTGGGACAATAATTACTTTGTTATACACGATGTACATTATGTTTATAATCATATTTTATAATAATTATTAAAATTTTCTTATAAAATGTCGTTTAGGTATTATAAGAACTTGTGTGCCGCGATAAATGTTGTATAGGTATGTGAATGTGCAATTGACTAAAAATAATTTTCATTTGCAAATTTATATAAAGGGTTTTCATTATTTACCAATTTATTTATTTTTATATGTATATGTAGGTAAAAAAAAAATCAAAATAAAGCAAAAATTTGTGGCAATTTTCCAATATTAATTGCTTTTGTACTAACAATATAATAAAAGCTTTGAATTTTAATCGTAATAAATAATTCAGTGGCGGCGATTACATCTATTTTTAAGGGTATACAAGTATTATTATAATACAAATATCTTATTGATTGATCTTGGATTCTTATTATTGATTTGTGTCGGATTAGTAACAGAATCTATTGGAACATATTCTGAGAAATGAATAACTAAATCATAGATGACAATCTTAAAAAAGAATGTATGGAACAAAATGATTCATGCAACTGATTTTTATTATAAATTTCATTGTTCTTTAGTGATAACATTATCCGAACAAGGCTCATCAAGTTATTTACTGAAATATTTTATATGAGGCTTAATTAATGAAGATTAATTTTTTAAATTTTAAATAACGAGGAGTAAAAACTGATGTAAATTTTATTTTTGTGTTAAAGATGGCATAAAAAAAGAAGAGCTTATACCAACCTATACCCTATTTTAATAAAATGCTTCACACTTCACTTAAAAAATTTTGAGTTTTTTCCTTATAAGTTAAAGTTGTGTTATGACGTAGGGATATAGAATTTGTATTTAAAAGTAGTTTTATTTAAAAATCAAGGTTAATTTAAAAAAAAATAAAATGTTTAGTAATTGGAAACTTTAGAATTCTATTTTTTTTTCTCATTGATAGTTTGAAAGTTTGACAAACAATAATAGTTTTTCAGTTTGAGTTTTTAACAATTGCATATTATGCTCTTATACAGATTAAAAACATAATAAAATTTACATAATTAAAAAAAATATCGTTGATATTAGCAATTTCAGGATATTTTCATAAATATAATAATATTTGTAGTTAAAAATTCGTAATATAAATTGAAATTCAATTGATCTCTTATTTTAATTGCCACTTACATATTTTTTTTTGCTTGGGACCCTTAAGTTTTTTAATGTTGATATTAATAATATTTAGAAAGTCTTATATTTAAGTACCTAATCACATAACTTACAGTGGAATTCACTTATAACAACGTCGCTTACAACGACGAACCTAATAAAACGACCAAACTTCCAACATTTGGTTGGCCCACATACATTTTCTTAGAAAAAAAAATCTGATATAACGACACGTCTATAGCGACCGTATTGGTGAAAATTTAAAATAGATTCTGAAAATTATACATATTTGTATTTAGATTCAAAGATAAAGGAGCAAATTTTTGAATCGACAATTAGAGCCAAAAAATTATTATTTTATTACTCGTGAAGTAAATATTTTACAACACACTTAATATTCAATAATTTTCTAATATCACTACTAAATTTTGAAAATCGTTTTAGCTTGGATCTTAAAAAAGCACTATTTGCGAATAGTCCTTGTTAACATTGAATTTTTAATGCAATGCAATATTTAATTTTTTTTCCGCATTGCATTTTATTTCCTTTCGCCTTCGCGATATCATTTCTATATCTATTATAATATACAGTAGTCTATGGTTCAGTACCTATTATAGGAATAATAATAGGTTCACCTTTCTTTTAAATACCAAAATGACGTATGCACTTATTTTTTGCTTTTTAAGTAAATTTGCGCGTGTTTCATAATCATAAGTAAATAATTTACAACAGAAGGCATGGAATTTTATTGTTCGAAATTTAAAAAAAAATCATTTTGAATAAATTAAACAGAAAATTATTTTTGAAAACAAAATTACCACAGTTACTTGAAAATTTTTAGCCTTAACTCCCTTATACTGGTATGTAAATGCAGAATATGGAATAAATTTAAAATGAATTTGTAATTTTAATTATGGATAAACAAAATTCCAAGAATGTATCACAAAATTTTTGTACAAATAAAAATAAAATTATAGTAAATTCTAAAAATAAGGCCAAATTTATGAAAGGAATTGGAAATAATGAAAACGAACAATTGAAATTCACTGATAATAATTCGAATGAAAGCAGTCTATATTCAAAATGTAACAATAGGAAGCAAAAACGTGAAAAAGTAAAGAACCTGAAACTAGGAAATTGTAATAATCATAATGATTTCAAAGAAAATGTTGCGAAAAACTCATGGAACAAAAATTCGAATTCAAATTTAAAACAATTACAAATTTGTAATTTGGAAGAAAAATCGCAAATTCCAATTAAATCAAGAAGAGGAACTCTTAACAAATTAAATTTTGAAAAGAAAAATAAAAAATTCAATGAATCTAACATTTCTAATTTAAAATTTGAAAATATTAAAACAAACATTTTGAGTAATTCTTCATATTTCTTAAAAGATACATCAACAAAATGCAATTTATCAAAAACATCAAAATATAAAAATAATAATTTATTAAAATTAAAAAATGGTAAATTAGATATGCAATGGATTAATCCATTAAATTATATTTCAAAAGGTCCATTTATTCGAAAAATTCCAAATGAGTTTGCATTTTATCATTTATCATTGACTGAAACAAAGGCTTTTACGAATATGGGCCATAGATTGCCAATGAAAAATGTTCCAATAGATGAAATCAATATTTTACGTAATGGAAAACGAGAAGATTATTTGAATAAGAGATGGAATCATTTACCAAAATTAAAATATAATTATCCAGAAGCAACTAGTTGGCGGTTAGGTTGGTTTTCATGAATAGTTTTTAAAAAAATTATACAAAGAAAAATATGATTTTGTATGTGTTTTTTAATGTCTGCTTATTATATGGTTATGTCTAATGTGAAAATTTATTTATAATAATAATATTTTAGACTGTGACTCATGTATTAAATTTAAGTGTAATAAAATTTCTAGTTGTAAATATGTAATGTATGTAGTTATAATTGAATGCCAAATTTCGGAAATATGGTTTTTGAGGTTAAAAAATCTGATTAAATCAGAAAATCAAAAACATCTAGATATTTGGTGCTAGTTAAAATCAATCATTTTGTGGTCGCTATATCTTTGTTTTGTCTTAGACTCTTTCAAAATTTTGATTACAAAGTTCTATTTTTCAATTAGTTGTGTTCGAATTTTATTAGAATTTTGAAAAATCTTATTGAATGAACATTTTTTTAGATTTCGAATAAGGCTGAACTGAAATATTCCAAAAGTATACAAAATGAATCCAAATGGTATCTAAAATATGGGATTTGGTGTATAAAATGATGGTACAAGTTTGGATAATCGGTTTGGCTAACAGAAGGAATAAATTTTTAAGTAAGTAAAATCGGTCCAAAAAATACAAAAATTTGCACGATTAGTGAAAATTAATGGGAAATAATGTGAAAAACTTAAAAGAAATTTGAAATAATATGAAAAATTTTACCTTAATTTCCTAAAATATATGATTACAAAATTATATTTT